AGAGTTGATGCTGTCCTGATTGCTGGCAGCAGAGACTGGCATTGCTTTCAATGTGAAAGGAGGCCAGTGCTACTGCTGGAGTTTTAAGCAGTCTGCGGCTTACCATTATTGCCCGCTCCAGAAGTTCAGGTCTCCAGCCACAGTTCTCTGAACACTCCAAGACCTCCGCAAGTCCACAGGCACTGAAGGCGACGGCCGAAAATTCGACCTTGTCCTGAGTGCGCATGTGAGAGGTTCAGTGCATGGTCTTGTTCACAGAGAAAGACTAGGTTCTTTGTATACAATTTCATTTATCTGTCTCAGGAATTCACTCCCTTTTTAAAATTCACACAGACACATCTGCGACTGTCTCCCAACCCAGCCTGTCAGCACACTCCCAGAGGCTAGCGCAGATTAGGCGGAGGAAGAAGAAGACGCGTGAAGACATGTTCACAGAACTAATGGGCTGCTCCCGAGCCCAGGCAGCCCAGCAGACACAGTGGAGGGAGAACTTGTCACAAATGCACCGAGCAGTCATGGAACGGGAGGAGAGGTGGCGTCAGGAGGACCAACAGGCTACTGAAAAGCTGCTTGGACTAATGAGGGAGCAAACGGACACGCTCCGGCGCCTTGTGGATGTTCTGCAAGACCGGAGGCAGGAGGACAGAGCCCCGCTGCAGTCTATCTGTAACCGCCCTCACCCGCCACCAAGTCCCACACCACCCTCACCCAAAGTCCAAAGAAGGAGGGGCGGCAAGGGCCGTTAAAACTTTCAATCAACCCCTGCAGACTGCTCTAGCAGTAGAAGGCTGACATTCCCCAAAATTTCATAAGTCCTTTCCTACCCACCTCACACAAGCCCCCGTCCAAGTTTCACCCCCCACGTTTCATGTCTGGTTCGCAATAAAATGTTTGTTTCTGTTCATTACTGTTTCAGTCAGGTTCTTTTGAGGGAGAGTCTGTCTGGAGGGGGGGAAGGGGCTTGGTAATTGGACAGGACAGTGACCTTTAGCAGGGTACAGAGGCGGTGTCAGGTCCAGCATCAGGACACATACACAGTGCGGTCACTGGTTACCCTGGTCAGTCTTGGAGGTGGTTTTCATGTTCTGGGGGGGGGGTTGCTCTGTTACTTTGTGGTGGGGGAGGGCGGTTACAGATCTTATGCAGCGGTCCTTATCCTGGCTCACAGATCCACGCAGCAGGGGATCTGTAACCCTACCCCCCCTTCCAGAAAGTCACATAGCCGACACATACACACAGTCCCCCCCAGGAGTGCTGGCAGGCTCCATTGAAATAACCAGTCCACCAGTGCGGAGCCTGTCATTCCGGGAGTTTAGAAGCATCATTTGCATCAGAACACTAAACCCGCCCCCCGCCACAGTCTGCGTCCCCGGTTTAAAATATTCCCGCGAAAACAGCAATACAGACAACGGTGTTCATTAACAAAATCGAAATGATTTTATTTTTTGGGAAGGGGAAGGGGGTGAAGGGGGTATGTAACTGGAGAGGATAGTCAAAATGAACTGGGTAAAGAAACGGGGGCAGGTTCAGCTTTTCTGTCCACAAACTGAAAAGTCACTGGTTGCCCTGCTCACTCAGGAACCTAGCTTTCAAAGCCTCCCGGATGCACAGGGCGTCCCGCTGGGATCTTCTAATGGCCCGGCTGTCTGGCTGGACGTAATCAGCAGCCAGGCTATTTGCCTCTAGCTCCCACCCCGCCATAAAGGTCTCCCCCTTGCTCTCACACAGATTGTGGAGCACACAGCAAGCTGCAATAACGATGGGGATATTGGTTTCACTGAGATCACAGCGAGTGAGTAAGCTTCTCCATCTCCCTTTGAGACGGCCAAAAGCACACTCCACCACCATTCTGCACTTGCTCAGCCGGTAGTTGAAGAGTTCTTTTTCTGTGTCCAGGGCGCCAGTATAGGGCTTCATGAGCCAGGGCATTAGCGGGTAGGCTGGGTCCCCGAGGATGACTGTAGGCATCTCCACATCCCCAAGAGTTATTTTGTGGTCTGGGAAGTAAATACCTTCCTGCAGCCGTCTAAACAGACCAGAGTTCCTGAACACGCGAGCGTCATGAACCTTGCCCGGCCATCCGACGTAGATGTTTGTAAACCGTCCCCGATGGTCCACCAGTGCTTGCAGCACCATTGAAAAGTAGCCCTTTCTATTGATGTACTGGCTGGCCTGGTGGTCCGGTCCCAGGATAGGGATGTGAGTCCCATCGATAGCCCCACCGCAGTTTGGGAATCCCATCGCGGCAAAGCCATCTATGATGACCTGCGCGTTTCCCAGGGTCACTACCTTTGGGAGCAGTACCTTGACGATTGCCTTGGCTACTTGCATGACAACAACCCCCACGGTAGATTTGCCCACACCAAAGTGGTTCGCGACTGACCGGTAGCTGTCCGGCGTTGCAAGCTTCCAGAGGGCTATGGCCACTCGCTTCTGGACAGTGAGGGCTGCTCGCATGCGGGTGTCCTTGCGCTTCAGGGCAGGGGACAGCAACTCACAAAGTTCGAGGAAAGTCCCCTTCCGCATGCGAAAGTTTCGCAGCCACTGGGATTCATCCCAGACCTGAAGCACTATACGGTCCCACCATTCCGTGCTTGTTTCCCGGGCCCAGAATCGCCGTTCAACAAAATCCACATGCCCCATTGCCAACGTCATGTCCTGGGCGCTGGGGCTCGTGGTTTCTGACAGCTCTGTGCCACTCTCCGACTTCAGGCTCTCACGGCGGTGCCGTAGCCTCCTCGCCCGATTTCTCTGCATCTGCCTCAGGGAAAGGTGTATGATAAGCTGCGAGGTGTTGAGAACGGCCACAAGTCCAGCGATGGTCGCAGCGGGATCCATGATCGCAGTGCTGTGGCGTCCGCGCTGTCACTGACCAGAAAAGTGCGCGAACTGATTTCCCGCCGGCGCTTTCATGGAGGGAGGGAGGGCGTTAGTGACGGACGGATGACGACAAATTTTTTTTACCCAGAAGGCATTGGCGGCTCGACCCAGAATTCCGATGGGCAGCGGGGACTGCGGGAACTGTGGGATAGCTGCCCACAGTGCACCGCTTCCAATATCGACGCTCGCCCCGTTAGTGTGGACTCACAAAGTCGAATTACTGTCCTTAGTGTGTCCTTAGTGTGGACACACACGTTCGACTTTGCAATATCGATTCCACATATTCGATTTAAGTAAAATCGAATTACCCTCGTAGTGTAGACATACCCTTAGAGGTTACTTTGAGTGTACGTTTCATGTTCTTTATAGTCATGTTCTTCTAACACCCTACTTATGTTTTAGGAAGCAGTAGGGTGCTCATTTGCCCTTTAAGAGTGTGGGAAAAGTTAGAACTCTATTCTGTAGTAAGGGTTTGTAGTACTCATGGTCATTGATTAACTAGGTTACTTATAAACACTTATTTCATGGTAAACTGGGGTGTAACTCTACCCCATAGTAGCCTGCTACACACTAGAAGTCCCCTAGTGTGCTTTGACATACTCCCATTTCAAAGAAGGGTAGATCAAAGTGTGCTAGGAATTTTAGTGCACGGCAGCAGGGTTCATATCAATACTGACGTCACGTCAGGCTAGGGTGGGGTATATTTACTAATCAAAGGTCTTGTCTACACAAACAAGCTGGGGTGTAAATAGGCATGGATTTCTGGGTAAGCCACAAGGAATCTTCTATAGCTGGCAATCTTAGGTATGAACTATTTTGATAGAAAAGCTGACACTTAGGTATGACAACTGGCCTGTGCTCTAGATACCTGACTGGGTCCTTATCCGGACATAAGTATAAGCGCACCTATAAACTTGTTATACTAGTTTATCTAAAGTAGTTTAGAAATGGGTATAATTAAAGTGACCATAACACTGTATACAACTGCCTGTGGACACATTAACTTATGCTAAATTGGTATTAACACAATCTTAATTTTGTGACAGCTAAGGTTGTGTATAGAGACACCACACCCACCCAAAACCTGAAAAACATGGTAATAAGTTAAAGGAAAAAAAAGTCTTAGATTCTTTGCTACCTTCAACAGGCAATAGCATTCCAATACTTTCACTTCCCTTTCCAGATACTGAAAAGCCATGCAGCATTGCCAACCTCAAGAGATCAAAAGTCATGATATTTTAAAGATTTTTTTTGGCCTGTCTTGATTTTTGATCTCTCCTGAATCTATTAGGTAAAGTGTTTCTAGCCCCTGCTGCTGAAGCTCTCACTCCCCACCCCAATCTGTCTCTTTCCCAGCAATTAATCCTGTCTCCCAATCCCTACCCACCCCACCCCACCCTCACCTCTGTGCCTCCTGGGATTCTTCACCCTCCTGTTCCTGGTCTGGGAGCCACATTGGGGAGGATCAGATGTGCCATCTTGTCTGTTTCTTATAGGAGGAGTGGTAGCACTGGAGCTGCTCTGAGAATGGTGAGCAGATGGGTGAGACTGCTGGTTACAAGCACGGCTCTATGTTGCCAGGGGGCTGGATCTTCTCATGTCATCACAAGATGAGCTCCAGCACTTTCTAAAGAGTTGGCAATAGTAGCAATATGTACCTCAACTTCAAATTCACTTAGGAACTTTACCAGCAATGTTAACAGATTAGTTCTCCTTATGTTAAAATCAATAAGGCACTTCAACCAGTGTGAGTGTCCACCCCAGGGTTTTGCACCAATTCAAACATCCGTTTCTAAGCAGATTTGGATGAATGCCAACATTCCCTGCAGGGGTAAATCAGTCACTGTCTTAGTAATGGAGCTTTTAAATGGGCCTGCAGCTGTTCTTGGTAGATGGAGAATTAGGTTCAGACATGGTCACTATTAGGAAGAGCTGCAAGGTATACTTTTTTCCTTAGGTCTTCCCAAATGATTAAATACTAAAGACTTCTGCTTTTGGTCTTAATGAAATCTTTAATGTCTCAATTTAAGCTTTGCAAGGTGGATAGATACCAGAGCACTGGGCACTAGAATGTTATTAACTAGGCAGCAGACTTCTAGAACTTCTGACACATAACTACCTCCCTTCAAGATGTTCACAATTTCAGTTCACCATAAAAAGGTATGAGAGAGGTTTATAGTAGACAATTTTTATTTTCAAAAGGTGCAGCAGTGAACAGGGTCCTTTGAAGGGCACTTTCTAAACAAAACAGTTATGGTACAACAGAGAGCAGAAATTAGTAAGTCCACAGTGAAGTACAGTCAGACACTGTACAAAAAGAACAAATTAGGAATACATATAAAGTTGCACATTAAAAAATAATTTAACAGCCATCTTCATTGATTCAGCAGCATTACAACCAAATGTCTGTATTTGCCTTGTGTAGTGGATCAATTTAAAGAGATTTAGACTTTACCAAGTTATTTTAGTCTTTGAGACTACTGCCCCTACTATAGATGATTTAAGATCAGCACTCTAGGGGACAATCTGTGAAAGCAACATTTACTCCCTGACATACAAGAAGTCAATTCTCTGGCCCTATAAGCACTTATCTTCACTCATGCTAAAGCGACAATATTTTCAGTTAAGTGAGTAAGGATATTTGTGTTAATAGATGCAACAGTTTTGCTTCTGCAATGTTTTGCAGAATACAGTATCTGCTTAATCAGATTAGACTATCATGAGAAACAGAGTTTACATTTAAAAATGACCTGTAATCACATTTTATATGAAAGAGACTAGTACTTAGTAAGGCTTCTATTCATTTTCAACAATTAAATGGCTCAAGTAATAAGGTGCAAGTGGACACAGCCATGTTCAACCAGTTATTGAATGGAACATAGGAAGGCTCAATTTTTGAACCACTTGTGTTCTGGAATTCGATCTAGCTGTAAGGTAACTGAAATAATATGCTATTCCAGTTATCAAGAAAAAGTGAATATTGACCATTCAGGAGTGTGAAAATATCCATAGGATTTATTGCATCCTGTGAAAAAACACTGAACAGTTAAATCAGAACAAAAACAGGGCAGCAGTTGATTGTTACTGTTCTTCCTTCAGCTAAGCTTAAAATGCACTTCCAGTGCACGTTTCTTCAGAAGTGTTTGCATTTTTGCTAAGTCACAGCAGGACTGATGAGTAGAATGTAGTGAGGTGAAGGTTTTCTGTGGTAAATCATTATTTCTTAACTGGCAGACTTCAGATGTGGGTGTGGTAGACTCATGGTCAGTTGAGAAAAAGGCAATGTAAGGGAACAAGTCTGGCTGCAACTGAAATGACTGACCGGTATGTTTTCTGCATGAAAATACTAACAACATGTTAAATTAGGGTGAAATTCTTCCCACTGATCAGACTTACTGGATATTCTACATAATCAATTTCCATGTCAATGAACTGTAGAGGTAGAATATGCAAGATACATAGTTATCATTAAAGAGTAAAATTCTTCACGCTACCCAAGTATGCCATATCAGGAAACATGGTTATATCAAATTATACTTTTGGTCATGAATATATACTAGCTTTTTCTACAAAAAGAGAAATGTCTACTTAAGACCACCACCACCACAATGTTGCAGACAATGACAACCATTGCATTGCTGACACTTAGTAAACATACACACTGGAACTTCAATTCTATGACCAGCTAGAATAGTTTGGACATAGATGCTCAAAGTTTAATGCATACATCACTGACTGAAGATTTTTCTCACCAGACCCTTCACAACCTACAATTAAGTACAGCCCCCAGCAAGTTTAACTAAAAAGCAGAACACAAATCTAAGTGTACTAGTGTTAGACGAATATTGTTAAATGAGCGTTTAGATCACTTTTGGCTTGGTCAAAGAATAGGAGCAAAAACTCGTTGCAGGACCTAACAGATGGGTAAGGAAAAAGGTAAGATGCCAGGGAACACACTGATTAGGAAGGAGAGGTGTTTGTAGAAGAGACCAGAGGCTCAAAGACATTGAAGTGGGATAAGATGTTTTGGTGAATGGAGGAGAAAATAAGTTGAAAATCATAATTATGGTAGATAAAGAAAATGGAATATTTCAAAGGATCCAAGTAATTTAATGGGAGGAGACTGAAAGTAGTGGGCTGTTGTAATATGCATTCAGAGAAACAGCATCTCATATGTTCCCTTAGTTTTAGGGTCCTTTTCAGCAGCTGTTAGTTTTCCCCAGGCATCTCTAATGCCTCTGGATCAACAATAAATATCTTCTGATTTGGGAGGCAAAATTAAATCTGTTCACCATATGATTATGGATGGAATCAAGTTTACCTCCTGTTGGAAGTCACACAAGGAAGAAGGATGAGTAGCAGCTGGTCAAGTTTGTCAATACTGAAGTAAAATGTAGTCAATACCATGTTCATAAGTGTTGCTTTTACCAGATTCAAGAAGCTGTCAAATGGGATGTACTTTTTGGTTTCTGAAATTAGATATATTCTTATGGTTCAGCTATCTGAAATAATACTTAGTTGGTATAGGGCTTCATGTACTTGACAATGCACCAATTCAGGAAGTACCTACTCTTCTGACTTAAGGATATTGTTTTCTAAATGGATAATTAGATATATTAAAAACAGAAACAGTAAATAGCAACAGCTCAAAATGAGGAGAGCTTTAATTTGACAATGAAAAATATGTAATATCAGTTTTTTCCTTAAGCTACAGTTCAACTGCCTTCAAGCAGGATGATTTTCTTATAGGATCCTGTGAGATCAAGATGATAATTCAGTAGGTTTCTAGCTGTTGGTTTGGTAATGCATTTCTATGGAGACTAATTTAGTAAGCTTGCTGGCTCTTGAATTTAGGTGATTTTCTAAGTTTAGAAAGGCAGTCAATATTTTGAAAACGCAATCGCTTATTAATTCCATATGAGTATTTTTAAGGGTGAAAATAGTGTCATCAGTAAGTTGAAGACAGACAACTACCTCCTCACCCAAATACCAAAGCAGTAACATACCAGAATCCTTTGGCATGAAGGGCATAACAGAGGTAGTTTTCAGCACAGAAGCAGCTCTCGGGCAGAGGCACTCAAACTGACCTAAGTAGTCATCCTACCATGATCTCTGCTAAGTGAAGATTTGTGATTTTTATATTTCAGGAGGCAAAGCCAATTTAACTGTATGCATCAGGTCAATCTGAAAATGTTTAATTATTCACAAGATACTTGAAGGCTGGAGAGGACATGCACATGACAATTACTGTGGTGCTCATTTCTTTGTCTTCTGATGTTTACTCCTGTTCAGATTAGTGAAGCAAAGCTGGTTCATCATGACCAACATACAGGCACTCAGTTTTATTCCAACACTTCAGATTAGTTTTAACATATTAATAAAGCCTCTTTGAAAATATATTTTCTGTTAAAACTTAAAAGTAGTTACCACTGTATCTAATAACCTGTTACAATGTTCTGAATTGGAAATGGGTCTGAAAGAGTATCCTTGTGTCTGAAAGCTGCTTAAGCAAACCTGTGATGAATATTTTTACTGGTCTAGAGATTAAGTATAGTGCTTTAAAGTCTGCAAGAGGGACAGTTTCTAGTCAGATCCCTAAACTCTCTGGCTTATACTCTCCCATGCCATACTATGGTAGTTTGCTCCAGCTTAATTTAATTACAGGTGTTCAACACTGCTCTTAAACACTTTGCTTTTAGGAAAGTCTGTACAAGAGTGAATGAAGATGGGTGAAGATTTCTGTGCAATGTGTCCTGCCCTGGGTTAACATGATTCAGTTTATAAACTCGGTCTTTATTCATACAAAAACAAAATAAATCCAAGTCAGATTTATAGGTCACAAGTCAGCACTATACCTCTGATATGAAAAAGTATTTGAAAAACAAGGTATATGAGCAAGACAGATTAGTCATGCCTGACTGTTCAGAATTACAGGTCAGTTGTAAAATATACACTGGGCACAAGGCAGCCCTCTAAAGACTAGGGATTCTGCCCTTCCCCACCGCTAAAAGTTTTAACAAAACCAGTTGATTGAGTATTCCCAATGTAATTATTGTAGTTAGATACAGACAGACCTGCTGGTGTCCCTCTGAAGAAATGAACACAGGAAGCCAACTGAAGAGGCTGATAAATGCTGTTACAGAGACCGTGTGGAAAGTTTGTGAGCCCAAATACCATGACTGAACATTAGGCGTGGGTCAAATCTGTACCTAAGAGTGGGGAGAAGGTCTGTGTGAGCTACATTTAGATCAAAGATTACCAGCAACATAATAGATCTAACATATAGCACTAAACCGGAGTTCATTGGCATGGCAGCCTCCCTCAGCAGTGCACAATAGGGAACTAGTTCTCCTCTACCAGGACAGTGCTACAACATTTCTATTTAGTCACAAACCAATACTACAGAAGTTGACAAAAGTCAGTGTAGTAGCACTTTTAGCTAACAGAGATGTTGCATCTAAATACAACACTAGGGTGTATCTGCAGTAGCATTACATATGAATAAAGGAAAAGGGTGTCCAGAAGCTGCATTGTCAATATTTTGCAGTATTTACAGCAGCAAAATGTTATGGCAGTTTAGCATGTAAATGCAAGCTTATTATAAACAACAACAGCCTTTTAAGTGCTGCAAAATTTCTAGAAAAGCAGCAGCCTTCTAACTGGAGAGAAGGCAGGTCTGACTGACTCACACAGATGGTTTTGCTGCATGTTACAAGCTCTGTTTTCATGGCAGTTTGATAGTATTCCTTGTTTTGAATATTCAAGACTTGAATCCAAAGAAGAAGTGAGATAAGGCTAGCAAATCCTTTAGTTGGAACGTTCCTGTGTTGAGCAACACACGTAAAGCTTTTAATAAGCTGCAAGTGATTATTTCCTTATTTAACCCATTGTTCCTTTGATTAGTCAGCACAGCTGAAGAGCTATACAGGCAGCATCCTTTTCAAAACAACAGTGACTGATAAAGTTACCTGGAAAGGGTGTTTAATTACACCACTGCTGAAGATACATTTGATATGTCCATAGTTTCTCATATCTTACAGCCACCAAGTACAGTTAATTTATCTACATTTAGCCTTTATAGTCCCAAGTTTACATTTTAAATTAATTGACACTAAATTAGAAGTCTAGGTGGAGTTTCCTGGATGAAAAATGCAATACTAGGTCTGAGACAAAACATTCAGCTTCAGAATTTAGTTTGTCCTATACCCACCTTCCTTTCCATTAATACAGTCTCCTCCTCAGACCAAGTGTCTACACTGCCTGACAATTTCCAGGGATTTAAGTTTAAAAGCATTTATGGCACCATCCCTTTAGAGAGAAGGGAAGTCCCTACTTCCAACAAAAGGGAAAAAAGTAAGACTTTTGAGTCTTATGTCAAGGGAACTGATTTTATAAGACAGTCCTAAACTGCTACACAACTGTGAATGATGATTACAAAATTAAAAGCTGAAATAGTCAAAAAAGGTTACCCTGGGTCAAAGACGCCTGGTGTGCGACAAGTTGCTCCTGAGCAGGACTGCAACATCATTAGTCGATAGTTCATCTTCTCTAAAATTTCTTGATCTATTGTTTTAGCAATGTTAGTAAGCTGGTGTGGGTCTGCAGTCAAATTGTAGACTTCAACAAACACCTGTTTAAGTGGGAAAAAAACAGTTCCTGTACTGTATTAAATGTCAACGATTATAAATAGAATACGTCCTACACAATTAGTGGGGAAACATATGCTGGTAGAGTGACAACTTATTTTCTACTGCTATGTATTATCGTTAAATTATATCTTCAGTTAGCCCGTAGTGCCCACTATGTGCTAAGTAATTGCCACACAGCCATGAAATGGACCCTTCCTTGAGGAGCTCACAATTTCAGGACAGTCTTGAGGGGTCAGTGGCAAATTAAAATAAGGCAAATATTAAGGAGTGAATTATCTACATGTCAAATGTTAGGTTTGTCATCTTACGAATGGAGCCCAAGGTAAGCACATGAGGTAATAACTAACACTCCACACATATAGCTCTGGTTAATGAAACTCCCACAGAGTACATCTTTTTACCCAGACGACACTGCATATAACAGAGAATTGGACACAAGTGTATTATATAATCTCCAACTAAAACAGTAAAACCTTTGTATGGCCTGCTTAGAGAATCACAATATTTATTGTTTTTTCTTAAAAGTTTATGGGGCAGCCTGGTGATGGGTTAGCATGCAGTGACACAAGACACTGGTTCAAAAATATACCCCTGACCATTCTGTGGGGCAGTAAAGGTCGGATATGCCACAAGAATTCAACTAAAGCATGCATGCAATTAAATCAGCAGATTAGATCAGTTTTGATGTCTGCCTTTAGGAAGGGTAGAGCACTCACACAGCTCCCCCATCAGGGAAGAAGGGCTTGATCATGGTTTTCAGAGAATGGGAACAGGGAAGGGATTTAAGAGAAGAGCTGGGACTTTGGGTGCACTGTTTACACTCCTTGGTGGCACCACACACACTAAAAGTATCTTCCCTGGGATAACTGAAGGAGACTGTTCATGAAGCTAACATCCTACTAATGAAATCTGAATTTTGCTTCTAAATGGAGGAAAAGTCTGTCCTATCGAAACAGATCCTAGTAGGCCAAGTGTCCTAAATCTTTCTGGAGAGCTGGCCCTGTCATTTTCAGACCAGACAGCTGCATTCCTCCAATGTAAACCGCAATCAGCCTATTAGAATGCAACTTGCTTAGTCTCTCCTCTGTGGTCATGGCCTGAGTTAGCTGTAGAAATGTGATCTCCCCATCAGTGGGCTTTAGACCATTTGGAAGTGCTCAAACAGATTTTATATGCTACACTTTTCCACTCAGCCCTCTTGATCTCCTTAGGGGGGGCATGTACTTTACCCCTCCCTTAGCCTTTGTCTAGTGGGATCTCTCGGAAGCAGGAGCAGGTCATTCCCAGATCAATAGTGATGCACAAAGCTCACTGAGGGTCCCCTGCAGTGCATGAATAGGAGTCCCAATTTGGCATTGCGGTGAACACAAAGATGGCAGTTTGTTAAGGATTGGTAAAGCATTGCAGGGTTCCCGATTCTCCTTGGCAGTCCTAACGAGGCAGTTTGAAAACATGGCTTGGGACAAATACTGTTACAACCTTATTTATCATGTGACTACATGTTGCCCCATACCAACTGCTCCCCAACTATTAACACTTAGCAGTTTACCTCAGGAATTAAGCAATTTAAGACTAAGAATTGCCTAGTCTTTTGCTAAACTATAGGGGAAAGGTGAAATTACTGTTTTGCTGGCAAGGCCACACACTTGCACCGCTTGAGAACTTGCTAGGAATGTGCAGTGAGCTCTGAAATACGTGGCTAGCCACCAGTTTAGTCTATGATCTACAATAAGGTTGTCTCTGTCATTTAGATACGGAGGACTAAATTCAGCCCTGCTGCAACTCCTACTTAAGCTCCATTTACACCAAAAGTGAATTTGGTCCTAGATAATTTAACCCATTTCCCCCTCATGATCATGCAGTATGTTTTGGTTAACTATTTCCACCAACAGTTAAAACAACTGACTATTTAGCCTACGAGCGAAGCTACAGTCTCATTTTCAGAGTAGTTTATGCCAACCTTGAGAGTAGATAAACTTTGCAGACAGACATCAATGGAGTTACACTATAATAGATGTTAATTATCTCAAATAGTGAGAACTGCAAGAGAATTGAACATTTAACACACTGTGCCATTGAAGTAAGTGAGCCAGAAAGTATTACCTCCCGGTCATCAAATTCACAGTACTGCAGATCCCAAGAAGTTGACAGTGTCCTCACACAAGCATATGTATTGTTATACGAATCTTCACACACACAGTCTGGAAAACAATGCTGTAAGGAAAGAGGTTAAACAGAAAGAGGAGCGTGAACATTCTTTTTTACTTCATGTGGTGAAACTGAAAGCAATAGTTCCCCACCCAGAACTTGTACCCGCTGAAGCCAGCTGCAAGTAGTTCATGGACACTAAACAGAATACTGAAAACTAAATGTTAAAAATCCCAGGTAGAGATATATGGAACAAGAATACCAGTTTTTCTAAAAATCAGAAAGTAACTGTCAGGGAAGTTTTTAAATGGGAGATAGCTTCTTTGTATTATTTTTCCGGTGAATTAATACAGTAGCCAGGAAATGAAAACAATGCTCAATACCCCAAACAGGCTACTTAGACACAGTGGGAACAATACCATAAAATGGAACATTATGGTAGGGTCTATTTACAGTAAGCATTAGTATGACAGAATTACAGAGCACAGCTAGTGTATTGCAGAATGTAGCCACCTACTCACGGGCTTCAAATCAATATTTGTTTGTGTGATGAGGGCATCAGAATTGCAGATGTAAAAGATCATGGCCCTATGTTGCAGCCACCATCTTTCCAATAAAACAGACTAACACAGCTACCCCCTGATACTTGACATGGGATTCTGGGGGCACTAGCTATTTTAAAATCAAAGAGGCAGATGTTCAGCCATTCAAAACATTCTACTCTGAACCAGGCATGTTGTACTCAGAACAGGCATAGCTCCTACTGACTTACAGAGCAAGATATAGTAAAAACCCTATTTTAGCATTGGGTATTGAGGAGTTCATAAAACCAAAAAGTTCATAAATTGATCTTGAAGTTACAACGGATACCACGCATAAGTTGCAGTACGGTACACTGCATTGTCTTCTTGTCCTTCAAGCCACTGCAAAGCAATTTCCAATGTTCTGAAGGGACATCAACTTGTTCTTTGACATACCTTTTATTGTTATTTCCCCTCTACTCCCTGTCAAGAAAAATGGTTTGCAAAACTGGTTGTTTGTAAAATCGAGGTTCTACTGTCCCAGGAAGTAAATCCAGATTTCCTACATCACTGGAAGATACAATTTCTAGGCTACTAACAGGCTGACTCTGAACTGTGGTTTTAGTTTAAGCAATTTCAGGAAACATTTACAAATAATTCACGCTTAAGTTCAGTTCTGCTTACAGTAACACCAGGTCCCAGGGCAGGGCAGGTAGGATCGCTGCTGTTATGTCCTTCTCCTTGGTACTCAATCAAGACATCTGATCTCCAGGTCACATTTTTGTCTCCTCTCTAAAACAGAAAATAGTAAAATTTACTTTTTAATTGTTAGTTCTTCTGACAATGCCATAAGTAAAAATCATGCATGCCTGAGATTACATACTCCTTGCTGGTTACCGAGTAATTTAAGACCCATCCAGTGGCACCAATACAAAAGCATAACGAAGCTTGGTGAAAATGCCCTGTGTAACAACAACTGGAAGCCAGATTAGAGATCCAGTCCCAAAAACTGGAAAGTTGCTTTAGGAAGTGGGTATTTTGTTTCGTTTGAAGAGAGTGCTAATGACAGTTCATATACAAGCTAGCACTAACTGAAGGATTATGATCATCATGAAGTACAAGCCATGTTGCCAAATACCACTAAATTATAACCCAAAATCTCTAGAAAAAGTTTTTTTATATAGCCTCTTCCTTTAGGGGTATTGCCACAGATGAAGAATTACACAAGACAATCAGAGATACTTGCATAAAAGGGCACACTCAACTGGAAAGCCAATCAGTGTATTTCAAAAAGTGAGTTGAAAATTTTAAATCCCTCCCACATGTGCAGTTTTAGAATAATTTTTAAAAAGGCATGTAAAACCTATACAGAGGTGAGCAGATTACAGAAGAGGAACAAACTACACGAAGTACCGTCACAAATGCACACCATAAACTGACGGAAGTCTAACACCCACAATCTTCATTATTTGTAACAGCAGGTAGAACTTTAAGTCAGACATGAGATTTAAGTTGATGTTGTCCCTTTAAGGTTTCACTAGCGAAACCTTATACCACAAAAGTGCATTGGTTCTAAATCATGATGACTCATTGCAATTTCTTGAAAGCTACCTCCAATTTATAGACCAAGTATAACAACAGTAAAGTGATCAGCTACAAGAAGCTTCATTTAAATAGGTTTCTAATCATCTGTAGGAAACGTTAGTTCCCCCCAACCCCCGTCAGTGGGGAAAAGACGACTAATATCCCACTTATTAGGATTTAAATAAATATCAAGTGGGCATTGTGATATTGCACCCCATAATGCTTTATGGAAATATGCTTATGAGTGTAAATATGACATAACTGGAATATGTTTTATGCTAGATATGCCATGTAACATATCTCTGCAAAGGTTATGATCTACTGAATATATTCATCCTAATTGTATGTGTGTATCATTTTTGTATTTGAAGTTATGAATATTGGATATGTACTTTGATTTTAAGCAGCCTCAGTGAAGCATTTGGTCAGCTTTTTGAGAAAAAACTATTCTCACTAAGTGCCCAGTCAAGAAACACTTTAGCTGACAATGGACTTAGATGTGGATTGGCGTCTTTCAGAGCTTTCCTGGGAACGTTCAAACTAACATGTAAGCAATGGCGTCTGCCTGTAAAGAACTGAGTCATGCATGGACATGTGACTTGCCCATGTGACTCCAAAACTCCATCGTGTAGCTGTGATTCTGCATAGGAAAAAACACAAGGAGTTTCCACCCACAAGAGAGACTATACAAGGCCCTGGGAAACCCCTCCATTTTGTCTTCAGCTGGCACAAAAGATAGTCTCTCCCCCCCCCCCCAAAGAGAGGCCTGAAAGAAACTGGAACAAAGGACAGTAACTATAGGGGTGTGAGTGATAGCTGGACCCAGACTAGAAGGAAGTCTAGTCTGTAAAAGAAGCTTATTGGAACATCTCTGAGGGTGAGATTTACCTGCATTTAGTTTCTTACTGTATTAGGCTTAGACTTGTGTGTTTTATTTTATTTTGCTTGGTAACTTACTTCGTTCCGTCTGTTATTACTTGGAACCACTTAAATCCTACTTTTTATATTTAATAAGTAAAAAGTGATTTTTATTAATTAACCTAGAACAAGCAATTAATTCATGGGGGAACAAACAGCTGTGCATCTCTATCAGTGTTATAGAGGACGAACAATTTATGAGTTTTCCCTGTATAAGCTTTACACAGAATAAAACAGATTTATTTTGGGTTTGGATCCCATTGGGAACTCGGGTATCTGGATGTTGGAGACGGGAGCACTTCTTAAGCGGTCTTCAGTTAAGCCTGCAGCTTTTGGGGGACGTGGTTCAGACCTGGGTCTGTGTTTGTAGCAGGCTAACTTGTTGGTACTGAAGTCCCAAGCTGCCAGGGAAAACAGGCTCAGAGGTGATCCCAGCACATCAAGTGGCAGTTCCCAAGGCAGTTTCTGTGACCCAACCCGTCACAGGCATAGTTTTGTCTTGGTCACATATGCAGGTCTTAGAGCATTTCAGAATTGAAGAGCCAAGTAGTACAATCATCAAAACAGGAGTCATTCATCACCAGTAGTGCAACTAGTCAAAGAAAAAGCTTTCCATAAAAAAAAAAAAACGTTATCCTCCCCGAGGAGGGAGTTTCAGAGTTTATTGGAATGTATAAGCAATGAAATGCTCTACCTGCATCTTGATACTATTTTCATTACGCCAGAAGGGCTCTGTGTGAAAATGCCATGAGGAAGAAGAGAGTTGGAATGCACATCTTCCTAGTCCATTTTAGGAAACTTTATTCACTCTGAAGAATAATCTGTGTAAGAATAATCTGCAAATTGCTTGGTTACTAATACTGTCTGAACTCTTACCAGAAGCGGCAACAGTGACATCCCATCCATCTGTGTCTTGTTTATGTCAAACCCTGCGATATCCAAAATAGTGGGACCCAAATCAATGTTTGCAACCAGCATCTGGATGGTGGTGGGAAACAAAGTGTTACTGACTCACAAAAAGATTAATGTTCTTAAACTGTCAAGTTTTAGTGTCTGTCTGAACAAGAAAGTGAGGTCCCTTTATACTACAGAACACTAATGTGTTGCTAGACCCCTTTGCAACATATATGCCAGACACTGTGTGATTACTACAAAAGAATATGAAGACCTATATTACTGCACCTTCACTTATAATCCTACCTTGTTTGTCTGGTTTGGTTTGATGCCTGGTCCTCGAACTAGCAATGGAACTTTAATGTCAAACTCATAGAGCTGCCGTTTGTCTATTGGCAAAGAAAATTGTCCTAGAAAACATTAAGAAAAGAACGAGACACCATTTAATTGTGGTTTAATTTATAAAAGAGGGCTTCACATGACTCAGGATCTGGCCTTTGATGAACAATGACTTGTTTAATAATATAATATATATGGAGATATACCTATCTCATAGAACTGGAAGAGACCCTGAAAGGTCATTGAGTCCAGCCCCCTGCCTTCACCAGCAGGACCAAATACTGATTTTGCCCCAGATCCCTAAGTGGCCCCCTCAAGGACTGAACTCACAACCCTGGGTTTAGCAGGCCACTGCTCAAACCACTGAGCTATCCGCCCCCCCCCACTCCTTAAATAGGTCCTTTATCTTGACCTTACATACACAGACCCTCAGTCCATATTCACACACAGATTTCCTTTATTTCAGTCTATTACTGTAGTCAGATTCTGATGCTGTACAAGTTGGGCTACTTGTACAACTTCAAATCTACATACAAGACGACCACAGAGGGCAGCTCTAACACTGAGAAAGGAAAGAGATGCTATAATGAAATTCACCAGTAAAAATATCTTGGTATTTCAGAGCAGGAATGGAGGAAAAGTCTATATTTATACATATCATCATTACATTTTAGGGACAGAACACCACTTTATAAAATTCTCTGAAGATGGATGGCACTGTAGGTTTGCAGTCAATTAGTTTAGCTTCATAGCACCAGAGAAATATAATTATTGTCTTCATTTCACAGATGAGTAAATAGGGGCAGAAGTTAAGTAACTAAGATTTCACCAAAAGTTTGCAGCAGAATTGCAAAGGACAAGTATACATACCAGTATGGAAGCCATTGTCTGAGGTATAAAAAATGTAAGTATTATCTAGCTCTCCAAGCAATTCCAGTTTCTTCACCAGTTTCTCTATCAGATCATCTACTGACAGTAGTGTTTGCCATCTGTATGGAGCAAAAAATGTTCCAATTAGAGTGTATAGTATTAGTTGTAAATGGGTATTTATATTAGGCTACAAATCAATTTGGACTTCTGTTATGCACTGTAGGCATATCATGTCTATCACCACAAACTCTGGAAACAAACCAAACATATAGCGAGCTCCATTTTATAGTATGAGCTGCAGCCATTCTAAAAGAGACACAGACCTTTTGTTTTGTCTTATTCTGCTTTTGTTGGTTTTACTCCGTAGTGCCTGAAAGGTCAAAATGCAGATTGCATTTAATCTTATCTAGAAGTAGCCACAGACCATTTCTGAAGTAATGCAAACTAGCATGTTAGCGTCACAGTGTTCTCCTGCAAGGTCACCATTTTATAAAAGCAGAACTAAAGTGTTCCTAAAAAGTATGTCATGTTTTAAAACAGTTTCTATATCAGGTGATCTTTTCTGCACAAAAGAAAGTAGCAAGGTCTATCCACTTCTTCATATTGCTCCTGCAATTCCAGGATCCATTATTCTGATGCTACTAGCCATCTTCTCAGCAAGCAGACCTCATGATAGAAGAGTGTTATGTTTGGTTACAGGAGTAGTGAATCTCCACAAAGTGCTTAGATTCATTACTTCAGATTAACCAGTCAGATTTTATTCTGGGTTCTGATGTCTCCCAGCATGCACTCAGTGTTTGATTTAAGATTTAATTGCATAATTTCACCAGCATGCTTTATAAAACAATGACCTGAAAACCAGCTCCAAGTTTTCCTTCTCCAAGATAGCAAGCTCTACCCTGTCAGCATGTACAAAATACAGTTCTACTATTTAAAGTAGTGTTAGCATTTGTTTGTAACCCTCTTTTCATTAGAATTTAGCCTTACAGCAAAGATGGAGAATAAAGGGGAGACTAAAAAGCTTACTTAAACTTACACACAGTAGTTAGCTATGCCTTCATATTGTGCATTTCTTAGCTGCTGTTGCCATCTGTAATGTACCACAAGTAGTAACTGAAAAGTGCCCTAAAATATCACACATCTCTCTATAGAGAGACTACCCAAGAATCCTATATGGTTAACCACTAGACAGATCAGCTCTGAAAACAGGTAAATTGCTTCATTAATTACCAGTGAATTTAAAGTAAGGTTTTACTCTGATTCTTTGCCAGTGAATTGTGGAAGAATTCTGAGTTCTTCTGAGACAGACAGGGAACTGTGGGAAGGCAGTGGAGGACTATCAGCATCTAGCCTTCATCATCACTGCAAAGTGCACCAGTTACCAGCCCAAGTGAAAGCAGAACCCGGGCTCTAACTCACAGTCCCAGCTATGCCAGGTAGCCCCAGTTGAAAGCATCATTAAACTTGTGAGAGAGGTGTGTAGGTATGGGAACAATACCGAGATGCTAACTCTGCCGAGCAGATATATGTATGGTATATCCAGGGGGCAGTTCTGCTGAGTAAGATACTCTTGCTTCCACCACCACTTGTTCATTTTTTACTTAGCACTACAGAGCCAGTACAGCTAAAAGGAGGCTGGTTCCTAAGTTTCAATCATTCACACTTGTCTAAAAACTTACTGAATTCAATGGGACTGCTCAAGTGCAAAATCAGAACCTTTATTATTGACAGTATTATACAAAGAGGAGAAAACAGACTCAGATCCAAGGTTAGCTGGCTGGGGAACTAAATGTTAAGATATTTTCTAACTTGTTAACTAAGTACATTTGATATGAAAGTCATTGAGAGAATGAATTCTCACAGTGCCTTAAAAAAACAAACAAACCACAACCAAAAACAGATTAGATCATATTAGTCTACTCATTTTGACAATGTGAATGCATTTTACTGTCTCATGCACTAACATTCAGAGAAACAGTAAAGAGACCGAGCAGGACTTCCTATGTCTCTGTATGTTGAAGGACAGTAGCAGTTAGATACAAGGGATTTGTATGGTCTAGCAGACTACTTATAAGTCTGCCTACCAAAAAAGGGGTGGGGGGATGACTCTACAGGCAGCACCCAGAAAACTACTGCAGGTAATTTAATTCTTATGATGAGACCTGTTACACATTTTAAATTAGCTCATTTTTGTTTTCATCAGAATAGCCTCTGGGCTATTAGTCTTGCCAGGAAACCTATTACATGGTCTCAAGCAGCAGTTCCTACCTTTTTCTAAAAGCATCGTCTAGAAACTGTATTGAAGAATTAGTCATTGGAGTCTTTGCTTGCCTGATTAGCCAATGCTTGTCCTAAAAAAAGAACACATTAAGATTAGCACAGAAACAACATAAAATGAGCTTTTTTGTTAAGTGCTAAATCTTCAATGAATTGTTAATTGCAATAGTAATAGTTTGAGTGAAGTATTTGCATTAAAATATAGAGTAACCTGTCACTTTAATAATAGAATCATAAAACTGGAAGGGACCTTGAGAGGTCATCTAGTCCAGTCCCTTGCACTCAAGGCAGGACTAAGTATTATCAAGCCAGGGGTGGGCAAACTCGGGCCACATCTGGGTGGGGAAATTGCATGCAGGGCCATGAATGTAGGGCTGGGGCAGAGGGTTGGGGTGCGGGAGGGAGTGTGGGGTGTTGGAGGCGTTGCGGTGTGCAGGAAGGGGCTCAGGGCAAGGGGTTGGGGTGCAGGAGGGGTGTGGGGTGTACAAGGGGGCTCAGGGCAGGGGGTTGGGGTGTGGGGCGCAGGAGGGGTTTTGGTGCGGGCTCCGGCCCAGCGCCACTTATCTTGAGCAACGGCGCACAGTGGGGCTAAGGCAGGCTCCTGGCCTGCCCTGGCCCTGCGCCGCTCCCAGAAGCGGGCGTCACCACGTCCCCTGGGGAAAAAAAGGGGGGGGCAAGAGGGCTCTGTGCCCTGACCTTGCCTGCGGGTACCTCCCCCAAAGCTCCCATTGGCTGCGGTTCCCCATTCCCAGCCAATGGGAGCTGCGGGGGAGGGTGCCTGCAGGCGAGGGCAACACGCGGAGCCCTCTGCTCCCCACTCTCCCAAGGGCTGCAGGGATGTGGTGCCGGCCGCTTCCAGGAGCGGCGCGGGACTAGGGCAGGCAGGGAACCTACCTTAGTCCCGTGGCGCCATGGGGTTAGCAATGCCGTGGGCCGGATCCAAAGCCCTGATGGGCTGGATCCACCCCCTGGGACATAGTTTGCCCACCCCGATCTAGACCATTCCTGACAGGTGTTTGTCCAACCTACTCTTAAAAATCCCCAGTGATGGAGATTCCACCACCTCCCTAGGCAATTTATTCCAGTGCTTAACCACTCTGACAGTTAGGAAGTTTTTCCTAATGTCCTCCCTTGCTGCAATTTAAGTCCATTGCTTCTTGTCCTATCCTCAGAGGTTAAGAAGAACAATTTTTCTCCCTCCTCCTTGTAACAACCTTTTATGTACTTGAAAACTGTTATGTCCCCTCTCAGTCTTCTCTTCTCCAGACTAAGAAACCCATTTTTTTTTTAATCTTCCCTCATAGGTCATGTTTTCTAGACCTTTAACCATTTTTGTTGCTCTTCTCTGGACTTTCTCCAAATTGTCCACATCTTTCCTGAAATGTGGCATGCAGAACTGGACACAATACACCAGTTGAGGCCTAATCCGTGCAGAGAAGAGTGGAAGAATTACTTCTCGTGTCTTCCTTACAATACTTCTGCTAATACATCCTGGAATGATGTTTGCTTTTTTTGCAAAAGCGTTATACTGTTCACTCATATTTAGCTTGTGATCCACTATGACCCCCAGATCCCTTTCTGCAGTACTTCTTCCTAGGAGAGTCATTTCGCATTTTGTACGTGTGCAACTGATTGTTCCTTCCTAAGTGGAGTACTTTGCATGTGTCCTTATTGAACTTCATCCTATTTACTTCAGACCATTTCTCCAGTTTGTCCAGATCATTTTGAATTTTAATCCTATCCCCCAAAGCACTTGCAATCCCTCCCAGCTTGGTATCATCCGCAAAATTTATAAGTGTACTCTCTATGCCATTATTTAAATAACTGATGAAGATATCGAACAGAACTACACCCAGAACCAATCCTTGTGGGACCCCACTCATTGTGCCCTTCCAGCATGACTGTGAACCACTGGTAACTACTCTCTGGGAATGATTTTCCAACCAGTTATGCACCCACCTTATAGTAGCTCCAGCTAGGTTGTATTTCCCTATTTTGTTTATGAGAAGGTCATGCAAGACAGTATCAAAAGCCTCACTAAAGTCAAGATATACCACATCTACTGCTTCCCCCATATCCACAAGGCTTGTTACCCTGTCAAAGAAAGCTGTCAGGTTGGTTTGACACAATTTGTTCTTGACAAATCTATGCTGACTTATTTATCACCTTATTATCTTCTAGGGGTTTGCAAACTGATTGCTTAATTATTTGCCCCATTATCTTACCAAGTACAGAAGTTAAGCTGACTGGTCTAATTCCCCAGGTTGTCCTTATTTCCCTTTTTATAGATGGGCACTACATTTGCCCTTTTCCAGTCTTCTGGAATGTCTTCCATCTTCCATGACTTTTCAAAGATAATTGCTAATGGCTCAGATATCTCCTCAGTCAGCTCCTTGAGTATTCTAGGATGCATTTCATCAGGCCCTGGTGATCTGAAGACAGCTAACTTGTCTAAGTAATTTTTAGCTTGTTCTTTCCCTATTTTAGACTCTGATCCTACCTCATTTTCACCGGCATTCACTATTTTAGACATCCAATCGTCACCAATCTTGTTGGTGAAAACCGAAACCAAGAAGTCATTAAGCACTTCTGCCATTTCCACATTTTCTGTTATGGTCTTTCCCCTCTCATTGAGTTCAAGTACAGGTGGGAGTTACTCAATTTTCCTCTTAGATCATATACCTCGAGAACTATGAGAGCAGGACTGTGTAAGTTTCTGCTCAGTTTGAGAGGGACCCTACAGTGTATGTTCACATGGCATCTAGAAGCGAGCCTCCCAGCTTGAGTCCACTGACGTCTGGTAGTAGGGCTTGCACTAGCATGCGAAGAATAGCTGTGCAGACATTGTGGCTTAGGATGGAGCTTGGACTCAAGCCCAAACCCACCCCAGGCTATTTTTAGCACTAGCACAAGACTGAGGCTCACTACCAGATGCAGTGTAGACATACCCACAGGGAACAGAAAGTGCCTGGGAATCACTTTAGTGGCCTAGGAAAGAGAACTGTGAAAAGAACTCTGCCTGGAGAGAGAGCTGGGAAGGATAGCAGTTGCCTGGGGAAGACTCTCTGGACTGAGACCAGTGATGATTCTCTACCTGACAAGGAGACAGGAAGGAGTCCTGCAAGGGTGTAGTAGAGAACTGCTAGAAGAGGCCTAAGAGATTAGCAGCATGATAAGAAACAACCTTAGGATAGTGGAGCAGAGTATTTTTGGGCTTAGAACCGATTGCTACTAAGGCCTTTTAACACTATCTAGAGTGGTGGTGCACAAACCCCCTGCACTGAAGGAAAAAAGACTGAGCCCCTGCAACAGGAACAGTAGGCAGACCCTGGTACAAGGAGAGAAGGTGAGCCCAGGCACTTAGGGCAGGAGACTATCAGGGCCCTGCCACAGGGTGAAAGGATTTTATAGCTTTTCATTTGGACTTTTAACCCCAGAAGAAGGCCTCTTGCTTTGACCAAAAGGCCAAATCATCCTCCCAGCCTGACCATTTTCAGAGGCGAGAAACTGAGGTAACAATCATGAACCTGACTAGGACAGGTAAGCCACACATTCAAGCAGCCAGAAACTCCAGTCAGAATTGTGCTTGTTGCTATACAAGCGCGCGCGCACACACACACAGAAAATTAGCCCTGAAAAGCTTGCTATCCGAAACCAATCCTAATGAAAAGTGAAAGAAAGGGACAAAATCAAGTGTCTACAAGTTATGTAAATTTACACTTTCAGTTTCAAGGTATAAAGCAACCGAGATCAGCAGAGTTGATTACTTGTTATCCCAAACACCAGCCTGGATTTGGCTTGAGCAGGGTCTTCTCAGTGGTAGAACTTCACCTTTGCAAATTCCACCCCTAGACTCAATCTGAAGCTGTAAGAACTCCTAAATCCTTTTTATGAGTCATGTAATTATGACCATTTAGATTCCCCATTTCTCTATTTTTGCCCAGACTGGGGAGGGTTTGGTGTTGGAGCGTGGGGCAGAGCTAATGAATCCAATCTGTAACTGAGTTCAATTGCATGCAGCACCCATGTACCTTTTTGGCAATTGTTCTGTTTCTGTTATTTAAATTAAACACCTAAATGCTTGAGATTTAGCCAAGCAAGAAAGCTGATTTAGGATAAGTAAGACCAAATACCCAGTCTGCAGTTACAGACTTGACCAAGAGAACTAAAGATTTATTGAGGAGCTGAAAGTCTTCCTCTTGTCCTGCAGTACTCTGCTCTTCTTAGTCTTACCCCTCCAACCTATTTATGAATTTAGGCCACATTTACAAGATTATTACTGAATTTAACTGAGCTTAGATTAACCAATAGTGAAGGCGAGGGAGTGGGAGGGTCCACAAGGCCTCATTACAACACCCTGTTGCAAATTAAAGGAATAGTCTCATCTATTACAGTTCTGTCAATATGCATTTGACTGTTGAGGACCATATGCAGCTGTTTCATTTCAGTCTCTAGCTGGGACTAGGGCTATGTCTACACTACAGCCTATGTTGGCAAAACTTATGTCCCTCAGGGATGTGAATATTCCACCACCCCTCCACCCCAAGTAACTTAAGTTACACTGGCATAAGCGCTCATGTGTACAGTACTATGGCAGTGGGAGAACTTCTCCTGCTAGAATAGCTTATGCTGCTCACAGAAGTGGGTTTTTTATGCCGATGGGAGAGCTCTTCCCCATTGGCATAGTGTCTTCGCCAGACACACTGCCCCAGCTCAGCTGTACCGATACAGCTGTGCCACTGCAGCGCTGTACGTATAGACATGGCCTAACATTTCCTTCTTCCCCTGTTGCGGAATCCTCAATATCTATAGATGGAGTAAGTGCTGTAAGCATCAAGTACTAAGAAAATCCCTATGGTTTTCCTTGTGCATTGCACTGCTATGCAGTCAAGTGCAGAGGTTTTTGCCTTTGCTCCGCATTAAGGGCAACTCTCACACTATTAGCCAATCCGCACTGTATTTTTTAGCTGGTTGTGACCAAATAACCGCTTCTAGCTTTCTATTTTTAAAGCACACAACCACTGTAGTACCTAAATCCCAGATAAAACTAAGGATCTTTTTATGGAAAAAAGGTGATTCTGCTTCCTACTGCCTGGTTTGACACTGTTATTTAGCATAAGCCACTGTCTTCCCTCTTTCTATTCACGCTCCCATCATTATCAAAGGACTTGCAAAAAAAAAAAAAAACCTGGGTTGTACATCATGCTCTGATCAGTTAAGCTTGGAGTCATTTTAACCCCTTCTAGTAAAGAGTTCCATGATCTAGAGCCCTTTGCCTTTTGCCCCTGGGCTCCATCAGTCACAATAGCCCCAATGCACACTGACATCACTAGGTTGCAAACAGTGAGAAACTTTGAGATTCCATATAGCCCATTCAAGATTTGGACTGGGATTTTGAACCAAATCACAGTTGAATGTGTATCTTGGCCCAAAAAAACCTCAAGAAGGCATCAACAGGTCTTACTAACTGCAGTTTATATGGCCTTCTCCTTCAGCCACAGGTAGAACAAACTGCAAACATCTAGTATGGAGCTGACCACGTGATTACTGTGGCTGGCTTTTCAGATAGGAGATTGTAGCCAATCTTGTCCCACTCATTATCCATGTGTTTTATAAACAGATACTAATTCAGCGAGTCTGACCCAAGACTGCAAACTACCTTGACAACTGAAAGGCAAATATTAAAGGTCAGGTCATTGCCCAGTTACTTCCTTTGAGTGCTTTTGTCTTACCACTGGTTTAAATTTGACTCTACCAAGACAACTGTTTTCATTTACATTAACTTCATATGCTGACACCTGGATGGTGCCACCATGTCTACTGAAGAGATGATAAAATTTGATGTCAACAGCATTTGGTGGCATTGGGACCTATGATTCATGACTTAACCAAGAGGTCTTCTAAATAGTTTGGTAAAATTGATGACTGGTAACATTTTCCATTAAAAAGGGAGTGATTTGAGTCTTTGGTAGAGACAACAGTGCTCATCAACACCCATATCCATTGGCCACTTGACAAAGCAACTTAAGGCATTTCCCACTTCATTCTGTGTGAAACCTATTTAAGGTGGCACTCTAGCTGAACAAGTTTGCAGATTATGGAAGCACATCATTAGAGCTTATGCACGTGAGTGCAAGACATTCTGGCAGAATAAAGTTCTTAATGATTTGGAAGCTGAAGGTAAAATGTCAATAAACTTAGTAACAATCATAATTTCTATCCTATTGCATAAATTCACTCCAAAATTAAAGAAGCATTAAGTTCTTGAATCTTAAAATACAAGTGTTTAGCAACAGGTGTTTATTATTGAAGGTCAGGATAGCCAGTCTCCTATCACCAATAGGGTTAGAAAAATCAAGTTTTTAAAATGATTGTGATCTTAATCTCAGGCTTGGTCTACACTTACCCCCCAAGTCGAAGTAAGGTACGCAAATTCAGCTACGAATTCGACATACCTTACTTCGAACTTACCGTGGTTCAGACGCGGTCCACACGCGGCAGGCAGGCTCCCCGTCGACTCCGCGGTACTCCTCTCGTTGAGCTGGAGTACCGCAGTCGACGGGGATCACTTCCTGGTTCGATTTATCGCGTCCAGACCAGACGCGATAAATCGAACTCGGAACTTCGATCCCCAGCCACCGAACTAGCGCGGCAGTGTAGACCAGCCCTCAGATGGCCACATCAGATGTTTCACATAAGAATTGAAAGATTAAGATCACAATCCTTTAAAAAAAATGTGATGCTGGAATCAGATGAGCACCAGAACAACATTAACCCATTCTTCTCACCACTTAAACTTCACAGTGTTACACATGTAAATCAGACCCACTGTCTAATTATTTCCACCAATTAATGTAGTAATCTGTTTGGATTCTTGCAAATCATCTTACCTTTCCATGAATGTTAAAATTGCCATTTCTTGGTGCACTGACATTCTGGAAGCTCTTTTTATATTGAGGAGCAGGTATCCAGGGAGAGTGTGGTGCTGGAGTGGAGATCATCATGAAGAAGGGTTCAAAGTTAGATTTATATTCCAAGAAATCCAAGGACATATTAGCCTGCATACACAAAGATAGTTGTTTAAAAACTCTCCAACACTAGTCATAACAAACCCTAATGTTAAGCTGTGAAAACTGTCCAAAAAAGTTAAGACTAGAAGTGTTTGAATACAAGAAGCGCTTGTAAACCATTTTATAATCTCGTTGATTGCACTTTTACAACTGTTTGAAGTAGAACGTGTGGTAAATCAATCCCAAATGTTCTGAGTTACTTATAAATCCTGTTTCAACTTAAGATGTCTTTTGTCCTTCACCCCTCTAATTGCCTCAGACCTTCATGTCATTCAGAGCTAGAAAGCTTGATGTAAAGAATGACTCAGATCTCTCATCTCACTCAGTCTTTGTATTGACAGAGCTCCCTTTCAAACCCTGCCTTCACTTACATTTTTTTTTTTTTTTTTCATACTGTCAAGTACAATTCCATTTCATGCCCTTCCTAAATCTTTCTACATTTCAGGAGATATAGGATCCAGATCCTGAATGTATTTTTAGATGGGAATTTGGCAGTTTGTTCTCCTCAGAAGGCAGTCATTCTGTTGGTCAATGTTTCATTCCCTGCTCTACTGCTGCCAACTTATTTGTTACATTCATCCTCCAAACACGCGCTAGTTTGATGATGATCCACTTTTTTTTTTTTTTTTTTTAAAGAGGTGATTAGGGAAGAGGCACCAACAGGGTATAGCTTTAAGCTTCATTCAAATGGAGCAGCACAAGTGATCTCCCTCACCAAGCCACTCATTTTCAAGTCTTATCTTGAATACTTCCTGTTCACCTTAGCCTACATGTGACAGCAAATCTCACTTACTATTCCTTTCAGCCCATTACTGTAGCCTTCCCTTTGCCAATCATTAGAACTAATCTTCGTACGTGCACAGTTACCACTTATATCTCAGTTCTTCCCTATTCTAGTCTCATGTTTTTCCTTTTCTGCCTGATTAGTCATCCAGCTCTGCAGCGCGCTCTATTCTGCCTCTGAAGCAATGGACTCTAAGAACTCTACATAAATAGATTGTCTATTGCCCGTTTGAGAGAAGCTATTAATCAATTATGGATTTTGTGGGTCACTGGTAATAAACCTATTCCCCCCAAATAGAGCCTTATTGAACTCTAAGCAAGTTAGAATAAGATTAGAGGCCTACAGGACCAATGAGAGACCAACTCCTGTCAAAGAGGCAAATACTGCAGCTATTGACAGAAGACTGGTGTTTGGTAGTCTGGTGCTATATGTGACCACATTAATATAGTCTCATCTTCCACGCAGTGCAGGATATGTCAATACATCCTCTGAAGTCTGTGTAGTGAAGCGCTGTTTTTTCGTCAGTCCAGAGTCCCCACTGCTTAATGGCCAAAAGCAACAAGCTAGCAGGCACCAACACTTAAGCCTTTTTCATAATCACTAACCCAGACAAGGTTAATTTGAAATATTTAACATTAAATCACATAGCATGTCAATACTGTTGTAAAATGCTCTATACCCTTTTAGTATCTTTGGTATACCTTTGGTATAGGTAGGAACTGAAGCATCAGTCAAATGAAAAAGTCCCATTCAATTACATCACATTAAGGCAGACAACTAAGTATTTTACAACGGTATCGACAGAGAACTGTCCTGAGAATGTATAGCAGGGCAGGAGAGTTCTCTTCACATAGATAGTTAGTGATCCTATGTGATTTAATAGGCATCACAGAAACTTGGTGGAATGATGACAATCAATGGGACACAGCAATAACACGGTATGAAATATATAGGAATGAAAGAGTTGGCTGTGCTGGTGGGGGAGTGGCACTACATGTGAAAGAAAGCACAGAGTCAAATAATAAAAAACTTAAATGAATCAAACTATCTCAATCTCCATGGATAGAAATTCCATGCTTGAATAATAAGAGTATAGCAGGAAGACTATACTACTGAGCACCTGACCAGGATGGTGATGGTCATTGTGAAATGCTCAGAGAGATTGGAGAGGCTATAAACATAGAAAGCTCAATAATAATGGGTGATTTCAACTGTACCCAGTCAATATGGGGATGTGTCACCTCAGGATGGGATGCAGAGAAAAAGTTTCTAGACACCAGTAATGACTGCTTCTTGGAGCAGCTAGTCCTGGAACCCACAAGGGGAGAGGCAAGTCTTAATTTAGCCCTAAGTCGAACACAGGGTCTGGTCAAAGAGGTGAAAAATAACAGAACAGCTCAGTAATAGCGACCATAATATAATTAAATTTAATATCCTTGGGGGGGGGGGTGGAAGGAAAAATAGTAAAGAAGCCCCCTATAGTAGCATTTAACTTCAGAAAGGGGAACTACACAAAAATGAGGAAGCTAATTAAATGGAAATTAAAATAAACAGTCACAAGAGTAAAATGTCTGCATGGAAAGTTTTACAAACATCACAACAGAGGCTCAAATTAAATGCATACCCCAAATTAAAAAAAAAAAAAAAAAAAAACACACAATACAAGGACCAAAATGTCACCATGGCTAAACAGAATAAAAGAGGCAGTTAGATGCCAAAAGGCATCCTTTAAAAAATTGGAAGTCAAATCCCAATGATGAAAATAGAAAGGAGCATAAACTCTGGAAAGTCAAGTGTAAAAGTATAATTTGGTATGCCAAAAAATTTGAAGAGAAAACTAGCGAAAGACAAACAGCAATTCCCCCCCCCCCAGTACAGTAGAACCTCAAAGACACAAACACCAGAGTTATGGACTTAAAGGTCAACCAGACACCATGTGAAACCAGAAGTAACCAATCAGGCATCAGCAGAGATTAATAAAAAAAGAGCAAGTACTGTACTGTGCCTGTATTTCATCTTAATGGTAGGCACATCTGGGTGGCTGCCCCCACCCCACCTCATGGACAACAACTTACAGCAAGATGCTGGAGCTGCCAGTCCAAGGCAGCCAGAGACAGCAGAGCAGGAGCAACGCTGGGGTCTGCGCAGCTTACACACACACAGCCCCCCCCCCCCCCCCAGGAGGGGGACATGGTTTTTTACCTCCCCCTCTCCAGCCAGGAGGGGGATGCATTGTTTTTACCCCCATTCTCCCGGCTGGGAAGGGACCATGCTGTTTTCTCACACACATGCCCCGTTACCCCCGCCGGGGCTGACTAGGTTGCTCAGCTGCTGCTGAATCCTAGCTTGGAGTGTGAGCTGCTGGATCTGGAGCCTGAACTGCGCTTTGTTCAGAGCTACAAACATTTCAGAGTTACGGACAACCTCCATTCCGGAGGTGTCCATAACTCTGAGGTTCTACTGTATATCAGAAGCAGGAAGCCTGCCAAACAGTCAGTGGAGCCACTGGATGATCAAAATGCTAAAGGAGCACTCAAGGAAGACAAGGCCATTACAGAAAAGCTAAATGAATTCTTTGCATTTGTCTTCACTGTAGAGGATATAAGGGAGATTCCTACAACTGAGTCATTCTTTTTAGGTGACAAATCTGAGGAACTGTCCCAGATTGAGGTGTCAATAGAGGTGGCTTTGGATCAAATGGATACATTAAACCATAATAAGTCACCAGGACCAGAGGGTATTCATCCAAGTGTTCTGAAGGAACTCAAATACGGAACTGCAGAACTACTAACTGTGGTATGTAACTTATTACTTAAACCAACCTCTGTACCAAATGACTGGAGGATAGCCAATGTGATGCCAATTTTTAAAAAAGGCTCCAGAGGCGATCCTGGCAATTTCAGGCTGGAAAGCCTAATTTCAGTACCAAGCAAATGGTTGAAACTACAGAAAGGAACAGAATTATCAGACACATAGATTAATTCAATTTGTTGGGGGAAGAGTCAACAGGGCTTTTGTAAAGGGAAATCATGCCCCACCAATCTCTTAGAATTCTTTGAGGGGGTCAAACAAACATGTGGACAAGGGTAATTCAGTGGAAATAGCCTTTCAGAAAGCCTTTGACAAGGTCCCTCACTAAAGGCTCTTAAGCCAACTAAGCAGTTATGGGATAAGAGGGAAGGTCCTCTCAAGGATGAGTAACTGGTTAAAAGAAAGGAAATAGGGTAGGAATAAGTAGTCAGTTTTCAGAATGGAGAGAGGTAAATAGCAGTCTCCCTCAGAGATCTGTACTGGGACCAGTGCTGTTCAACATCTTTATAAATGATCTGGAAAAAGGGGTAAACAGTGAGGTGTCAAAGATTGCAGATGGTACAAAATTACTCAAGATAGTAAAGACCAAATCAGATTGTGAAGAGTTACAAAGATTTCAAAAACTGGGTGTCTGGGCAACAAAATGGCAGATGAAATTCAGTGTTGATAAATGAGAAGTAACACATATTGGAAAACATAATCCCAGCTATACATACAAAATGATGGAGTCTAAATTAGATGTTACCACTCAAGAAAGATCTTGGAGTCATTGTGGATTGTTCTCTGAAAACATCTGCTCAGTGTGCAGCAGCAGTCAAAAAGCTAACAAAGTTAGGATCCATTAGAAAAGGGACAAATAATTAGATAGTAAATATCATAATGCCCTTATATAAATCCATGATATACCCACACTTCGAATACTCTGTGCAGTTCTGCTCATCCCATCTCAAAAAAAAAAAAAAGATATTGAAGAAACAGAAGGTACAGAGAAGGGCAGCAAAAATGATTAAAGGTATGGGACAGCTTCCCTATGAGGAGAGATTAAAAAGACTGGGACTGTTCAACTTGGAAAAGAAACGACTAAGGGGGGGGGATATGATAGAGGTCTATAAAATCATAAATGGTGTGGAGAAAGTGAATAAGGAAGTATTGTTTACCCCTTCATACAACACAAGAACCAGGGGTCACCCATCAAATTAATAGGCAGAAGGTTTAAAACAAACAAAAGAAAGTACTTCTTCACACAATGCACAGTCAACCTGTGGAACTTGTTGCCAGGGGACGTTGTGAAGGCCAAAAGTATACCCGGGGCAAAAAAAGCATTAGATAAGTTCATGAAGAACAGGTTCATCAATGGCTATTAGCCAAGATAGTCAGGGATACAACTCCATGCTCTGGGTGTCCCAAAGCCTCTGACTGCCAGATGCTGGGACTATATGACAGGAGATGGATCACTTGATTGTTGCCCTGTTCCAGGGTTCAACAACCTGTGGCTCCGGAGCCACATGCGGCTCTTCAGATGTTAATATGCGGCTCCTAGTATAGGCACAGACACCAGGGATGGAGAGATGGGCGCCAACTTTCCTTTGTGCCGGGGGGTGCTCACGGCTCAACACCTGGCTCTGCCCCCACTCCACCCCTTCCCGCCCCCTTCCCTGCTGTGCCCTCGCTCTTCCCTCCCCTCTGCCCCCCCCCCCGATCCTCCTGCATGCCACGAAACCACTGATCGGCAGGGCTGGGAGGTGGGGCGGAGAGGGGAAAGCTGATGGGGGGGCTGCTGATGTATTACTGTGGCTTTTTGGCAGTGTACATAAGTAAATTCTGGATCCTTCTCAGGCTCAGGTTGGCCACCCCTGCCCTGTTCTGTTCATTCCCTTTGAAGCATCTGGAATTGGCCACTGTCTGAAGACAGGATACTGGGCTAGATGGACCATTGATTTCACCCAGGATGGCCATTCTTAAGTTCTTATGTTAATAGAGGTCTCTCGAAATCACATATATAGACATACTGTAACATCTAAAAACAAATGAGAGCTAGGTTAGAACTCCGTTACAACAGTTGGCTGAAGTGAAGCACATTCTCTTAGGTCTTAAGCCAAACTGCCATTTCACAGGCTGGTACTTGTTCTAAATGGAAGTCTATGACCTACCAATCAGCAACATTTTGGTCAAGCACCCTGAACTACCACCGAAGTCAGTGTTCACCTCCAGATCTGGCCCTTGGCTAACAGCTATCTAACAATTTCATTTCCCTATATTTGCATATACAACCTTGCCCTCTTTAAATAGAGCTGGAATCTTGCTTCACTGGTTATGCCTGAAGTAAAGACAACACCAAGATTAGGCAATATCCATTCAGTAACACAGCCAAGCAAAAAGTAGTGTTTGGTCACAAATGGAACAGTAATGCAGCTGTTGTGATGTTTCTTACCAGTACATCTGTCAGGTAATCTGCACTGTAATTCTCACCATGCCTTCGTGCTTTTCCATTTACTGAAAGAGTGTAATTATAGTATTTTGAATTTTTTTCCTATGAGAAAAGAAAAATATATCATTTATATAAAAAGACAAGAATCTACTATTTCATTGACCACTTTAAATAAACTAAGTTGTCAACAAGTATTTGTTAAGCCTGATTTTATCAAACAATTTGTCCTATTTAAGTATTTGTAGTATGTGCACTGCAAAAGGCCTACAAGCTTTGCCTTTTGTAAAACCAAAGTGATTCTATACTATAATGTCAAGTTTTCCTTTGCGGAAATCAGGTTTTCAGATACTTAATTAGAAATAACTCCTCATCAACATCAACAGCCTCCTTACAAAGCTGAGAAAATACATACTATGAAGGAAGGGAATTTCCTCTTTTAGTTAACAGAAGCATGCAAAAAGCAGACCGGTTCTTAGATTGAGCACAATTAAGCTAGATTTACTTTTGTAAAGTATCTACAACTAGGTATTTAATAGGAGCTGTCACATACCAAAGCATACCAAAAACTCCATCCAGGAGGAACATGGCCTATTCCCCCTGCATCTTCTGCTCCATACTGAAAAAAAAAAAAGGGAAAAAAAGAAAGTGACCCAGCACAGTCTCAGATGTGACTGAGATATAAGCTATATTTAGGGGGGGGGTTGTTTTCTTCCACAGCAGCCAGAAATGCAAAGGCCCAGTTCTAATCAGATAAACACACACTGACTTGTACGACATACAAATCCTCCTACATTAAAAGGTTGCAAAGAAAGGCAATACCAGATTTACAGTTGCCCATGCAACATTAATTCTATCCCCTTGTACATCCAACCTGTGCACCGAACTATACAGGAGTCCTGCAGAAAAATATAGTATAGCATCATATTAAAGACTATTAAATGCATACACATAGTGGGGCAACCTTAAATCTGCTATTGCCTAACTTTTGAATGCTCAACTTTGCAAAATGTTCTTTTAATTGTTTGTATGTAATTTTTTAAAGGGAAAAATTAAATTGTATACAATTAACAATTCCCTCTCCAACCCGCAGATGTATAATCAGTAGGGGATTTGAAATCATCTTTTCTTCTCTCCCTTGCCAGAACCTCCTGGACCATGTGGAGTCTATGATGGGGGGAAAACCCAGCACATGACCTAACCACAGAAGTCCAGTCCCACATCCCTTCCCCAAATATAATCCTCAAATTCTAGTACTCCTGAAGTAGAGGACTAAACTACTGACTCTCTCAACACGTCTGTTAGTCTATAAGGTGCCACAGGACTCTGTCGCTTTTTACAGATCCAGACTAACACGGCTACCCCTCTGATACTTGACTCTCTCAAGACTACCTATTACATGGATGTGATACTTTGGCCAAACTAAGCTGAGAAAAGTTAGGTTGCATGTCTTATTTCCTCCATTCCTTTAAACAATTCTGAGAAAGAACTTTTCATCTAAACAGTAGGATTTTAAATATTATGGGGGTTTATTTTATCTACAGAAATAAGGACTAAGACTTTATTTCACAAAGTTATTTTCAGTACAGGCAATTCACTTGTGTCACAGCAAATATGAGTAAGATATACCTCATTTAAATACTTCCCAGCAAAGAATGTTTGATAGCCACACATGGACTTGAGGAGAGCTGGGAAAGTATATGGTTCCTGTATTTTCTGCCATGATTTGCTGCTGCAGTTTCCCTCCAGAGTGTTATTGACAACATGATGATTATGTGGGTACTTCCCTGTTAAGATACTAGCTCTGCTGGGACAGCACAATGCACTGGGCACATACTAGAACACAGGATGAAAAAAATACAAATTGTAAATTGACTCGTTGGAAAAAAAAAATCTAGTTTTTAGCCAATAGCAAAAGACATTAAAAGATATGCAAATAAGTCACTCACACCACATAGATCAGATTACTCCCATGTATTTAGGCATATAGAACTACCACCCAAATATTTTTATCAATTAGAGGTTGCACATGGGATTGGGTTTATATTTCCTGTAGAGTTTACAATTTAGAAAATGCATGTTATACACACAGCAGAAAGCACCAGTTATTTGAGAATGAACAGTTATTTAAATACTACTTATTGTAACAATTCCAGTAAACAAGAATGGGGAACCATTAGTCAATTTTCAAACCTGTACAAAGCCAAATCTTTGAAAGATTTCCTTATTAGTTTACAGCCAAAACTTTCATTTTCTAAAAATATTCATTAAATTAAGTGTTCTGAAATGTTCCATCCCAGGCACAGAAAGTGATCTTGGGTCCAATTCATACATTACCACAGGAATTAATCAGCCCCCTTGTATTCTCCATATTTAAAAAGTTGAAACTAAACCTACTTCAGAGCCAAATTAGAGATTACGTCTGTTATACCATTACCACCATAGGTATTTAAATTACAATGCTTCAATAAATACATGCCACTGAAGGTTACAGAAGTCAATGTCACCACTTACTGCATTTGAGAAGCTTATCCCCATATCTGCAATAAGGGCACTGGTCTTCTTTAGCGGTGTCTGTAACAGAGGTAGTAATTAGTACAATGAGCTAAAAATATCTGGATACTGAGATGCTAGTGTGCTATCTAAACTGGCAACCTTAAGTTGATTTTCATGGGAGGTACTTATAGAGTACCAATCACCACAGTATTTAAGCATTGGCTAGACCAAACCAATGCCTCCATTTCTTTGCAGTGAAACTTCAAACTCTACATCTAAAATGCAAGGCTAAAGTTATCAAAATTCTTAGTTTACTTTTTGCAAGTTTTGACAGAATTCTCCTTTTAAGTTTTACATTCTACCCAATGTTTCTTCATTCAAATGGATCAGACATCATTTTCTAGCCAGAAAATAGTGTTTTGTTTTTCTTAAAATGCCCCTTTTCATCCTGGAGCCAGACTGCTACAATCTCATAGTGTGAATTGATTCCTCATATGTAGTTAGTGAAACAATCTTTCAAAATGGTCATTAAAACACATGTGCCTGACGAAGTGGGTATTCACCCACAAAAGCTTATGCTCCAATACATCTGTTAGTCTATAAGGTGCCAAAGGACTCTTTGTTGCTTTTTATTAACACTAAGTAGCCTAGGCATAAGATTTACTTTCCCACCCTCACTGGAATGAAAACCCTAATATTTTACTCTATCAAAAACAGGTACTCACCCTGGGCAAGTAGAATTTAACGACTACAGTAAAATGAGCCTTTTGGGATCTTTGAAAGAAAAGTGCTCTAAGTAACATTCATTGTTTAATTTGTGGAAACTGTCAAGTCACAGGACCTATTTCTGTTTTAATGTTGATTCCTTCAATGGACATCCTGAAGCACTCAACATCCCAAGTGAAGAATTAAGTACAGATAGGTTAATTAAGTGATCCTGATGTAATAAACACTATGCATATAGCAAACCATATGTGTGTTGATGCTGGTCAGTTTAAGACAGTCAACTGCAAATCCTAACATTCTGGACTGATGAAGACCTGTTACTTCAGGGTGTGATGAAAAGTGAACACGTATATTAGAGAGAGAGAGTAAAAACTAATGAATCCATGCTTGTCTCATGCCAGGGTCAGGCTTACAGAACACTGTCAGTCTTGGTCAAGAATTCATTCCCAGCACAATAAAGAAGATAAACTCAAACTACCTCTGCGGTTAATATCTAGAACTGTGGACTAGGAAGAGGGAAATGATTTTCTTCATTGCTCAACTAGTGTGAAGAGCAAAAAACAGGAAAGATAAAATATGAAAAGACAGGGATTTTTTTTTAGAGTGTTTAATCCAAAGCACTGTGAGAATTTTCTCATTACCTCTCTCTTTAATATGGATAACTAAGTGTGAAGTTCTGACTGTACTAATTCTCTTCCCAAAAGGCATATATATTCTTTTACCTCATGTTCTTGGGAACAGTGCAGAACTTGCACCCCAAAATGCAATATGTTGCCTTTCTGATAATTGTGTCTCAATATTTGCCCTACAAATTAAACCCCATGAAGTCACGCTTGCAATAACCCAACGAAACAAGGTCACAGAAAGGCACCGGCAGAATTAAGAGCTATTTCCATTTACACACCATCCTAGCTGATTCTATGGACTTTCTAGAGGAGAGCTGACACTCAGCCTGTCTAATAAAGCCGCAAACAAGGCAAATCCCACCCGCTCTGTCAGGGACGTTGCACTAACGACGAGCCCCCGGTCAGCCAGCGCACACGGTTTCCTTGAGTGAGAGGCGACATCCCGGCCCAGACACACACCAGAGGGAAGTTGCACGACAGCTTCCAAACACCTGTTATGCAGCCAGATGCCCCCTTCAAAATGGTCTGGGCTCAAGGCGCTTTTCCCTCTCCCAAGGCTCAGGGTCCCCACGGCCAAAGCGGAGATGAGCGGCCCTGGGCACGGCAGAGCCCCCCGCCCCGCCCCTCTGGCGAGGTAACTGCAAGGGGTGCGTCTGCCCTACCGAGCCCCCGCACAGCCCGAGCCGGGTCAGGCCAGGAGCAAACGCTGCCGCGCCCGGGCGCCCGGCACCGCGAGGCCCACGCGTGACACAGCCGGGGGCAGGACCACCCCTGGGTAGGGGGCAGAGCCCACAGCGGGGACACAGGCCCCCCCAAGCCCAGGACTGGGGGCAGGCCCCAGGACGTCCCGGGCAATAGGGAGCGCAGGTTACCATGCCGCCCAGGCAGACATCCTGGTCATCGGTGAGGATCAGCACCACGCTGGGCTTCCGCGCCCCGCTGGTCCCGGCCACCTGCGCGCAGCCCCAATCGCGGCTCAGCACCAGCAGCGCGGCCAGCGCCAGCCCCCACACCGCGGGAGACATCGTGCAGGACCCGAGCGCAGCACCGTAGCCTCCGTCCCGTCGCTACCCCAGGCGAGCGCAGAACGAAACCGACTCGAGCGGCGCCCCGCCCTCGGCATATGACCAGGGAGCGCAGCAGGCGCTGTCACGTGACTGTCCCGGCTTCAGCAGCGGCCTTGGCCGCGAGGGGAGCAGCCTGCCCCACCCCCAGCCTCGCTCTCACCCCCTCAGCCAGCTCCGCCCTCAGCCTCGTTCCCATCCCCTCGGACAGTCCACTCCGCCTCCTTCAACCTGCCTCGCGCCCGCCTCACTCCCATCTTCTCAGCCAGCCCCGCCCCCACCTCACTCCCACCAGACTGCCCCACTCCTACACCCCCTCAGCCAGCCGCGCGCCCCTGCTTTCCGCCCACCTCCTCAACCTGCCGTGTCCTCTCCCGCCTCACACCCACCCCTCAACCTGGCCTACGCTGCCTCACTCCCAACCCCAAACTGCCCCCACCACACCTCACGGCCCCCCTCGCAGGTGGCATCCAGCTGCAGCGTGTGGCCTGGGTTTTCTGACATATGCTCTCTCGGACCTAGGGTGTCCAGATGTCTTGATTTTATAGGGACTGTCCCGCTGTTTGGGGCTTTGTCTTACCTATGTGCCTCTTACCCCCACTCGTCTTGATTTTTCACACGTGCTATCTGGTCATCCTACTCGGACCTGGCGCTGCTCCTGGAGCTTGGGACTCTGTTAGGCAAGCCTGTCAAGCCCCTGCATTTGGTGCCCCCTGCTGGGAGGCAGCCAGGTGAGGGACACAGGTCCAATGTGTCCACAGAGCCCGTGACTGCCCACAACAGCACTATGTTTGGCATTGTTGGTACTCCACACTTCAGGCCATACGGTCACTGGTGCATGCTGGGTAAAGCTAGCAACTGGCCTGTGCTGAGCCAGTGGGTCTTTTTCACAAGGCACCATGACCACACGCCTGCTTGGGATGCTGGGATTTCTCCCCCTGGCCCCAGGTATTCACCTTGGGGCTCATTGTCAGATGTGCTGAGCTCCCACAGTTCCAATTCAAGTGAATAGCAGCTGTGGGTGTTCCCCTCCTCTTTAAAATCTTCCTGTCTGAGTGCCTGGCTCCTGTTTTATACTGCTGCCCATCACTGCAGTATCTGGAACCTTCCACTTAAAAACAATAACAATTGCAAAGTCCATCATGGAACCTCTGGCTCTTCTCTTTTGAGGGTAAAAAAAGTCTGTTTGTGGTAGGATTATTATTTTTATTATTTGTTTTGGTTAATTGATTTTTGTTTCTTGGTTTTGGTCTTGTTTGTTTTTGTTGTTTTTAATTTTGTTTGTTATACTACCAAAAGGTGTCCTTTAAAAAAAAAACAGCTCCACTAAATGAACTTCTAACACCATGATATTTATGAGGTTTGTGCTTGTTATTCTATTCTACTCTGGTTTTTATTTGGCTCTCATGACAGAAGTATCTGAACACTTTCCACTAGTGCATTAAGCAATATAACTAACATCTGTCACATGTGATACACAATGTAGTGTTTTGTCTTGGTAGCTCTTCTTTTATTTTATGGTGTACATGCCACTGCAAAATTCCTTTTGGTAACAGGTAATGCTAACAACCCTCTTTTCAAAGATGATCCAGAGGATTGTGATGTGTCAACAACTGCTTATCCTCCCTGAGGAATTCTAAATAGGATGCCATGTGAGATTCCCGTAGATAGAATTAGGTCTTATGATGATAGGTATTGTTTGAGTGTGAGGATGACTATTTGGGATCTCACTAAATGCAAGTGAATTGAAAGGGCTGTTCATGATATCTAGTGATAGTGTTTTTTCAAAGTGAAGGTGGAAAAATGGATGTATATAGCTCCTAATTCTGCCCCAACTGAAGGAAGAGATAAGGTGGGTGAGGTAATATCTTTTATTGGACCAACTGCTGTTGGTGAAAGAGATAAGCTCTGTGTAGCTCTAAAGCTTGTCTCTTTCACCAACTTGAAGTTGGTCCAATAATATTACCCACCCATCTTGTCTCTCTAATATCCTGGGACCATTACTGCTACAACAGCACTACAAACAATCCATTGAAGGAAGTCACTGGCAAAAATCCTGTTGACTTCAATGGGAACTGGCATAGGTTCAAAGACTAAGGGCATGTCTACATGCAGAAATCTAACAGCATAATTATAGTGGTATCCTGGTATACCAGAATAATTATATCATTATAGATATACCAGTATAATTCTTCTTATAGACACTCTTATTTCAGAATAACCATAAGTACGGCTAAGATTATGTCACAGAGGTCGTAGAAGTCACAGAATCTGCAGAGCCTCCATGACATTTTCTGCTTCAGCCCCGGGTGATACCAGTCAGCTTTGTGTTCTTGGGGAACCATGGCGCAGTATCCAGCCTGTCTGACTCATGAAGAACACACACACACCCAGCCTCTGCTTGAACAAAAACCGATCAGAGAAAAGACTTGCAGAGAGCAGTGAAGGGCAGTGGGGGACACACCTAGACCCCTCCTGACAAGGGTGACAGGATTAAGGCAACTCCCCTAGCCTCATCTGCATCAAAGATGGGACAGGGAGGCATCTCCATTAGCAGGGCGGCTCTACCATTTTTGCTGCCCCAAGCAAACAAACAAACAAACAAACAAACAAACAAAAAGCTGCTCGGACTGCCGCCCCAACTGCCGAAGCAAAAACAAAAGCCGCCCGGGCTGTGCCGCCCCAAGAATGGACGGAATGCCACCCCTTAGCATGTGCCGCCCCAGGCACATGCTTCCTCCGCTGGTGCCTGGAGCCCGGCCCTGTCCATTAGCATACAGAATGGAGAACAGAGATTCCAAGGCAAGAACCGCACTGAACTCTGGGACCAGAAAAGCAGGGAAGCATTGCATCATGGGGGATCTCTGCCGCAGATGTTAATGAACCTATGCTTGTACACACCCAGCTCAGCAGTTATCAGGCCAATTCTAGTGATGAATCCTTGATTGATATCCAAAATACTGAAGCAGCCTAATTGCATTGTGAACTCCCTGGAAGGAACATCACCCATAGCTAGGAATGATCAGCTCTTATTGTCTAGCCTAAAGAAAACCCTTGAGTCATCAGTTTACCCATAAACAAATCTAGTGTTCTCCCTTGAAGCATTGTTGTTTCCCTACAAAAAAACACCTACACACGCTCAAGTAAGTGTTCTGATGCATGGATCCAAACTCTGCATCAGTTCCACTGGGATTTCATCTTCTCCTGACTGATCGTGCTGGGGGCTCTGCTTGTCGCCAGCACTCAGGACTCTGAGCTACCACCATCACCTGGGAACCCCGACCAGTCCAAGTTTCATGGAGTGGTGAGACCCCAGCTCTCTCTCTCTCTCTCTCTGTTTTCTTTTCTACATCAGGTATAACTTTCTAACCCTGACTTGTTTGATCAGGTATAGTTGTCTATATATGACTTTTGTGATCTTTAATAATGTAACTATTATGTTTGTTTAGGCTCTCCTTGTGTAGTTATCACTATTATTCAATAAATAACTTTTATGGTTAAGCTGGTTGCTTCCCTCTCTCTCTGAACTTTACTCTTTTGTGTTTTTTGCTTCCCATTTACTCTGCAGCAACACTCCTCTTACCTAAGCTAATGATCCCTGTAGCCCCAAAAATACTGTGGGGTTTTCTCATCAAGTGGGCTACTACCAGTACAATTGTAATGTGAAAGTGGGGATAGAGACATGCTGAGCCTGTGACATACCAGGGTGGCAACTTGGAAATGCTGCTTGACCCAGACTACCAAGTCCAGGGGCATATAAGGGTGGCAGCTTGAAAGTGCTGCTTGACCCAGTCCGCTGAGTCCAGGGACATATAAGGGGTCAGCTTGAGAGTGCTGATTCACCCGGTCCACTCAGACTTGCTCTGCTAATGTGTTTGTGTGTTCATCTGGTTCTGGGGCTGGAGGAACCCAGCCCTAGGGAACCTAGGTCCTGCAGGATAGCTCCATTGGGAGGGGACTTGCAGAAGGGAGAAGTAGAGCTCCATATGAAAACACAAGTGACACGAGCAGTACATTAATAGAATTACAGACACCCCCCCCAGAAAAGTAACCCTAATAAATGAGCGTACCCCAAAGTAAAGGGCAAATCTGATAACATGGTGCAGTGGGGCTGGAGCTGTCAGCCAGTGGGGACCCTGGAGCTCTCAGCCACCGCAGGCGGCTGGGCCACCCGCAGCTCCCAACCGCTGGCCCCAGAGTGCCAAGCCACAGCGAGAGGCCCCTGCAGCTCCCAGTTGTTGCGGGCGGTGAGGGGACCCCTGAGTTCTGAGCCACCATACGCAGTGGGGAGATCCTGGTGCTCTCAGCCACTGTGGGCGGCAGGAGGACCCTGGATCTCCAAACCGCCACAGGCGCCTCGGGAACCCCGGAGCCGCAGCAGCAGTGGGTGCTTGACCCCCCGCCCCATTTTGTCATAGTTATTTTTAGTAAAAGTCACAGACCGGTCACGGGCTTCCGTGAATTTTTGTTTAATACCTGTGACCGGTCTGTGACTTTTACTAAAAATAACCATGACAAAATCTTAAACTTAACCATAACTATAGTAGTATAAATATATTGGTATACTTTATGTCAGTAAATTTCCTTTTCTCTGGTCTGCCTTTGAGATAACTGACAACACTGAAGAAAGAAGTACACGAGAGATTCAGCAATGCACATTGCAGTGAAGATATAACAAAGGTGGGAGACATCTTAATATAGAAACCTTCATTAACCATTTGATATGGATAGACACAGAACTTACAGATGATGTCTGTGACAGGCAACTTAGGACATTTTGGGTTGCTGCACCGTATGTTGTAATTAATACATTAAACTGAACATTAAAAACCATTTGGAAAAATACTGTATAGAGTGGGTGAACAGTATTTTGTTGTGAACAGCTGAGGCAAATGGGTGATCTCTGGTCATAAAAGACAGTTTCTTGCATTGTTTTCTATTAATGTGTTAGGCTTGGGATAGGTTGCTATTACAATGGCTCCCCCCTCGGGACAACTGTACAGTAGAACAGGTCATCTTCAGCAACTTTTGTTTTCTTTTGAAAATAAAATTGCCATGGTAACAGTGAAAAACAATAACCTGAATGAATGACTAGGCAGAGTTGAGGACTGGATGAAATTCAGGTGCAGTCTTGTGAGTCTGCAGCTTCTGAACTGAGAAAATTATACAGGAGCCTAGCCAAGAAATATACTACACAGAGAATTTTTAAAGTGACTTTGTTAGCACTACGCTGAAGTCCAGTGTAGCGGAGCTAGTGAAAAGAATCACAATTCCTATTATAACAAAACTAAATATTACTTATTGTTATGTTCAAAAGGCCAGTGCCATCTGTGCAGCTGGCTACGGCTGAGTAAGGGAAAGAGAGAGTAGTGGACATGGCTTGCTGCTCTCCTCATGTCTGGCTCAGGTACAGTAGCACAAACATATACATCTGGCAGGCTGTTCAAAAAAGAAAGGTAATCAGGTGCTGTGTTGTCATGCCATGTGTCAATGGCGAAAAGATCACAGAAACAACTGCTTCCTTCTAATATTGAACAAAGAACTGTATTAGAATAAAGAAATCAGTGTACTCTCTAACACTACTTACTCACTCTGCATTTTCTCTCCAACCAGGTCATTCATTCCTGGGAGAATTTAGCTGCACAGCCAGTACTGAAAGTTAGTGTGGTTTTTCTCCTGGTGCTTCAGTGATGAGTTTCCACTGCAGACCCAAATAACATTTCACTGGGCCCAGAGCAAATTCAGAACACGGCCCCCACCCCATCCCACACAGCTAGATACATAGGTACAAACCTACTCTCACCAGGTTTATATAAATAACATTTAATCAAATTCAAATATCCATAATTTAGTCTGCATGTTTTTTCTGACAGGTAATGGGCTTGTGGCCCTGTGGCCAGGCCCCTCCTTTGGACCAGGCCCTGCAAAAGTCCCCGCAGCAGCTGCAGTGTTCTTGCGGGGGAGTCCGGGTCCCCACCCCTCTGCAGCAGGTGCCATGTCCCAGGACGAGGTCCCCCGAAGCAGGTGCAATGCCCCAACCCTGTACCAGGGTGGCGTGTACCACTCAGCGGGGGGTGTTGCGTCTGGCCGGCAGCTCCTGCAGGCAGACAGGTACAGAGTCTCCCCCCGCTGCCCGGTGTAGAATAGGCTGAACCCGGAACTCGGCCCGACGGCCGCAAGGCAGGGTCGGGAGCTGCGAGCCGTGCTGCATGGCTAGTCGGCAGCCGGGGCGCGGCGAGGCGAGGCTGTGCCCGGCCGGGGCTGAGGACACGGGCGGCGGCGGCCCCGGGGGATGGAGCTGCTGGAGATAGACCTGGAGGGCGGGAACTCCTGGGAACCCGCGGCAGGAGCGGGGAGCCCCGGCCCGCAGCGCCAGGGCGCTAGGGGCAGGGGCGGCAGCAGCGCGGACAGCCTGGCCGAAGAGGAGGAAGAGGAGGATCCCGCGGGCAGGTACCGCAGAACCTCGTCCCTAGTGAGCGGCCTCCTGACCGAGCTGTATAGCTGTGGGGGCCGCGCCCGGCACCGGGACAGCGTGGACAGCTCCACCGAGGCGTCCGCGGGCTCCGATGTCTTCCCCGGGGGCAGAGGCAGCAGCGCCGAGTCCCGCTTCCTCCAGGAGCTGCAGCAGCGGCGGAGCCAGCGGCACCAGCTCGAGTATCTGAGCCAGAAAGGTAAAGGCACCGGACCGCCTGCTCCCACCTCCGCCCTATCCAGCCACCCCATTGGCACCGGGAGTCTCCCGCCCTGTGCCCCCTTTCCGCCCTGCCTGAGGACTGCGAGTCTCCTGCTCTTCAGGCCAACCTCAGCCTTGCCCAGCCACCCCACTAGCACTGGGAGCATCCTGGCCCTCACCCCAACCTTATTCTTACCCAGCCACTCCAACGGCACTGGCAGTACCCTGCCCTGGCTAGCATCTCCGCCCTGCCTGGCCACCCCAAGGCACCACGAGTCTTCCGCCTCATGCCCCCATCTCTGCCCTGCACGGCCACCCCAAGGCACTGGGTGTTTCTCGCCCCATGCCCCCATTTCCGCTCTGCCCGGCCACCTCATTGGCACTGGGTATACCCCATTCTGCACCCCCATCTCCACCCTGCCTGGCCACCCCACCGCACTGGGAGTACCCTGCTCCACGGCCCCACCTCACGTTGCCCGGCCACCTAGGGCCGGATTAACCTTTTGTGGACCCGGCACCAAACATTTGTGGGCCTCCATGTAGTCCATTATGGGCCCAGCACGATGTTGCCATTGGTGCCATAGTAAACGTGGTACTGCTGGTATGGGGATGAAAACATTTATTCAAAAACAAAATAAGATATCTGAAGCCATGCTTGATTGAGACCTCCACTCAGCCCATAGAGAACAAACTGGGCTAGCATCAATATACCCAGAATATTCTTGAATTTGGTTTACTTGTGTGGGAGGGTGTTGTTTGTTAGTTTTGTCTTTTGTGTTTCAATACTGAGGGCCTGCTTAGCAACCTGAATACAAGTGTTTAATTTTCACATTTATGAGCCATATTAAGCCCGGATGTAGCAGTCAATGGAGTTGCACCTACACCACCACCTCCTCCACCCAAAGTTATGTTTCGTAAATACATTTTTTTAAAGCTGGATTTTCTATTTTGGTACAAAAATGTTTAAAAACTTTTTTTAAAGTTAGTTTCTTTAGCCTATTTCTCCCTTTGTCTCACCATCTCTCATGACTTTAAGTGAAACAGTAAAGTTACTGGGGTGGAGTGTGGGGAGGAAAATTGTGGGGGAGAAGTTCCTGGGCATTCCCACTGGTGGGAGGGCGGCAGCCAGCCCTGCTGTTACTGCTCCCTCTCCCCCCAGCCCTGAGGGCCACTGACAACCAGCCTCCCCCACGGCGGCCGAGAACATACACACACCTGGTGCAAAGCTGCAGGATCAAGATAGTGTCCAGGAGCCCACGGCCGGGCATCAGGGTTGCCAGGGGGCCGAACGCCGGGAGTCACAGCACTGCTGCCACCCCAGGAGAGTGGAGGAGACTTGGGGGGTGGAGGGGTCGAGCCAGGAGCCCCTACCCTATGCCCCATGGGCAGGGCCGGCTCCAGCTTTTTTGCCGCCCCAAGCGGCGAAGCAAAAAAAGATAAAGCCGCGATCGGCAGCACTTCGGCTGTAGCTCTACCGCGCTGCTTCATTCTTCGGTGGCAATTTGGCAGGGGGTCCTTCGCTCCGAGAGGGAGTGAGGGACCTGCCACTGAATTGCCGCCGAAGACCCGGACGTGCCACCCCTTCCCATTGGCCACCCGAAGCACCTGCTTCCTTTGCTGGTGCCTGGAGCCGGCCCTGCCCATGGGGAGGATCAGCGCCCCGGCACTGGGAACCCTCTCCCTGCACCCTTTCCCTTTTTTTGGTCCGGTCCGCTCCGCTGCTACTCACTTCAGCTGGGGCAGAAGCTCACAGCACGGGGCGGGGCATTATGGGACTACTAGTGTAGCTGGCGGCACAGGTCCAAGGGCCCCAGTGGAAGGCAACGGCACGCGAACTACAACTCCCCACACACCTTGCAGCGCATTGCTTGGCTGTGGCTAGGCTGGATTAACCGTTTGTGGGCCTCCAAGTAGTTGTTATGGGCCCCTTCCAAGTGTGGGTCTGGTACCACTGGCGCCATTGTAAATCCAGTACTGTGGCCATCCCACAGCAGTAGGAGTCTCCTGCCCTGCCGCCCAACCTCAGCCCTGCCGGCACCAGCAGTACCCTGCTCTGGCCCCCACCTCATGTTGCCCGTTCCACCCCACCATCACTGGGAGTATCCTGTACCACACCCCCACCTCATCCCTGCCTGGCTACCCCATCAGCACTGAGTATCCTTACCCCCTCCCCCATGCCAGCCTCATTCCTGCCCGGCCCTCCCACTGCCATCTGCACGCCAAACTCATCCCTGCAAACAGAATAAAGTCCAGACCAGCAACATGTATACATGACCCTATTAAAGCAGCAGTTTCATAAAGCTGAAAACAACTATGAGCCCAATCCACTGGGAGAGTGGATTTAATCAGAAAAATGTGAACGATAATTGGGATTTTTTTAAGAACATCTTACTATATGCTCCAAAAACCACACTCTCTCACAATTGAAGAAGAAGGCTGTGCTGGTGTGTGTTTTTTTTTTTTAATCTGGTTTAGAGGGGAAGTGAAAGTAGCTATAATTTTTTTTAATGTAACAAATGGAAGATAGGGGAAATTGATAATAATTGATATGAATCAGAACTTAGGAATTGTAGAAAATTGATAAGGGAAGCAAAGGGACACAAGGAGAAATATATGGCCAGCTGAGTTAAGGACAATAAGAAGGAGTTTTTTAAATGTGTTAGGAACAAAAAGAACCTGGACACTGGTATTGATGAAAATGGTAGAATTATCAATAATAATGTAGAAAAGGCAGAAGTGTTCAGTAAATATTTCTGTTCTGTATTTGGAGAAAACACAGATGATATAGTCTCATCATATAGTGATAACACTCTTTCCATTCCACTAGTATCTCTGGAGGATGTTAAACAAAAGCTACTAAAATTAGACATTTTTAAATCAGCAGGTCCAGATATTTTGTATCCAAGACTTTAAAAAGAGCTGGCTGAGGAACTCGCAGGACCATTAATGCTGATTTTCAATAAGACTTTGAGTTTTGGGGAAGTTCTACGAGACTGGAAGAAAGCTAATTTTGTGCCACATTTTGAAAAGGGTAAACAAAAAGATCCAGGTAATTTTAGGTCTGTCAGCCTGATGTTGATTCTGGGGAAGATAATGGAGTGGCTTATACAGGTCTCGATTAATAAAGAATTAAAGGGGAGTAAAGTAATTAATGAAAGTCAACATGGATTTATGGAAAATTGTTTTTGTCAGACTAACTAGATATTTCTTTTGATGACATTACAAGTTTGATTGATAAAGGTACTGTTGATGTAATATACTTAGACTTCTGCAAGTCATTTGACTTGGTAGCACATGACATTTTGATTAAAAAAACTAGAATGATATAAAATTATGGTACACATAAAAACAGGCTAATTGATAGGTCTTAAAATGTGATTGTAAACAGGGAATCATCATCAAGCAGGTGTGTTTCTAATGGGGTCCTACAGGGATTGGTTCTTTGCTCTACACAATTTAACATTTTTTATCAGTGACCTGGAAGAAAACATAAAATCATCATTGATAAATTTTGCAAAAGACATGAAAATTGGGAGAGTGGTAAATAATGAAGAGGACAGGTCACTGATTCAGAATGATCTGAATCACTTAGTAAACTAGATGCAAGCGAACACTATGTGATTTTTAGTGCAGCTGAATGTAAATGTATTGCATATAGAAACAAAGAATGTAGGCTATATTTACAGGATTGGGGATTTTATCCTGGGAAGCAGTGTGTCTGAAAAAAGATTTGGGGGTTGCGGTGGACAATAGGTTGAAGATGAGCTCCCAGTGTTACACTGTGGCCAAAATAGCTAATGTGATCCTTGGAGACATACAGGAGAATCTTGATTAGAAGTAGAGAGGTTATTTCACCTCTATATTTGGTCCTGGTATGACTGCTGTTGGAATACCGTGTCAGTTCTGGTGTCCACAGTTCAAGAAGGATGTGATAAATTGGAGAGGGCTCAGAGAAGAGCTACAAGAATGTTTAAAGGATTAGAAAACCTGCCTTACAGAGATAGACTCAATGAGCTCAATCTGTTTAGCTTGAGGAGTGACTTGATTGGAATCTCGAAGTACCTATATGGGGAACAAATATTTAATAATGGGCTCTTCAGTCTAGCAGAGAAAGGTATAACATGATCCAATGGCTGGAAGTTGAAGCTAGAGAAATTCAGAATTGGAAATAATGTGCAAAAATTAACAGTGAGGGTAATTAACTATTGGAACAATTTTCTCAGGGTTATGGTGGATTCTCCATCCCTGACCATTTTTAAATCAAAATTGGATGTTTTTTATGAAAACTATGCTCTAGGATAGTTAGGGGGCAGTTCTATGGCTTGTGTTATACAGGAGGTCAGACTAGAAGATCACAGTGGTCCCTTTGGCCTTCGAATCTATGAATTCCTGCCCCACTGGTATGGGGAACATCCTGCCCCGCCACTCCACCGGCACAAAGAGTATCCTACTGTGCACCCCAACCTCAACCCTTGGGTCAGATTGGCAGAGACCCTGGGGGGTTTTCACTTTCCCCTGCAGCACGGGTCACCTGCAGGTTTAAACTAGTGTAAATGGTGGATTCTCTGTAACTTGAAGTCTTTAAATCATGATTTGAGAACATCAGTAACTCAGCTAGAGGTTAGGGGTCTATTACAGGAGTGGGCAGATGAGGTCCTGTGGCCTTTAATGCGCAGGAGGTCAGACTAGATGGTTTTGATCGTTTCTTCTGACCTTAAAGTCTATGAGTCTATCCCTGTGTAGCTGCTCCACTGGCACTGGGAGTGTCCTGATCTGCACTCATCCCTGGCCAGCCACCAACACGGGGGTTACATTCCTCCAAAATTATCCATGACTTCACAGGGAGTAACCTATTCTGTCCGTTTCCCCCAGCCTCTTTTCCCTGCCTACTGTAAACCCCTTCCCTGATCTGCGTCAAACTCTTCCTTGTACAGAGGCACGGTGATATCACTCAGATCCTTCACATTTGCTTATGAATCACACCTTCTTTGATCCTGTCTCCTTTCCCTGCACTCCCATCTCGTGCTCTCTATTATCCTGGACTTATTTCTCCACCCACCTCTTCACCTTCTCTGCCTGTGCAAGTGTTACCTTTTCCTCCATCTGCACAAAAGTTACCTCTCCAGCCTCCCCCCACCCTTGCCAAAACAAACAAATCAACAAACCAGAGCTGTTTCTCCTCTCCCAGAAACTGCCCCTTCCTCCACCTGGGAAAGGAGGGTGCGATAATCAGGATTTTACCAAAATAGTCAGTGCTTGGATGGTGATAATGTCAGGTGCAGCATGAGTGTGTTAGGCCTTTATTTTCAGTTACACGTGTTCATATTTTTCTGGAATCTGTCACACAGAACATGGGTTCCAGATTTTTTTCTTTATGAAATTACATAAATCTCAAATAGCGACCAGCTGTCACTTGTTCCTGAAAGATTTGTTGACCTTAACGTTGCCAGATAGAGGGCGCCTTCAGGAAACCGGTTTTGTGAATTTATTTAGTTCTGTGTGACCTTATGCACAATTTCTATAGTTTTAAACCAGCGAAGCATAATAACTCTGTAAACTTGGTCATGCATTACAGATTCCATATTGTTAAAAGTAGTCAATATTTGGATCACCTTTTTTTATTTCTGATGAAGTTTTTGACATATTAGCTTGTTTGGAAATAAATTGAGTCTGAGGGGGGAAAACCAAAATTTTAAATGTAAAAAGTAAACAAAGCTGTTACACCATTTCCCTTACACTTTGGAAAACTTGAACTCAGACAATAGCAAAATGAAGCTATCCAAGAATGTTCATGAAAACTAAGCAACCGTGACACTAGATATTAAGAAAAGGAGGACTATACAAAGGCCGCTTGTCTCCTGATGTTAAATCAGTCTTGTTGTTGACATGGAAAAAACCAGGAAGTGAAACCTGCCAATTTCTTCAAATCTGTACAAAGAGCTTTTTGCTTCTGTATCTGGCCTGTTAAGGTGTTATTGCTCCATCTGATGTTATGGATGGTAACCTCAGTCTCTAGTGGAAACTTGCAATTTCAGCATATGATTAGTTCAATCTAGAATGTGTTTAATGAACCAAAACTTGTCAGGGTTTGCATGAGTGTAACTATAACTTAGTGAATAGCTCTAGTGAACGCAAGAAAGAATAAAATCCAGCTCACTCCCTCTGTTGATTCTACATGGTAACCAGAGTAAAAAAGTAAATTCTTACTCTTAAGTCCATGAACATGATTCTGAATACATACAGGGATCAGATATACGAATAAGAATGTTCCAATTTTCCATACATGGTTTTCAGAGAACCATATTTTAAGGCATACATGTAACAGCATAACTAGTAGGTATTTTTGGCTACATCTGTCACAATAAACACAAATTTATAAATTAGAAAGATTAAAATTCTGCCCTTATACAGTGTGTGCAAGTTAATTATTGACTTTGGCCCTGCTCCTAAAAGCACTCATGCATATGAATACTCCCATCCAATAAAGCTACTATCGTTAGAAAATCTACATATGTAAATGTCTGCAGCAATAGGCTGGACTGTAATAATTTTGTGTTCTGCTTATTGACAGATGCTGATGAACTGGCAACTATAGTACGAGAACTGAATTACAGAATTTGTGTTCAGTCAGCAAAGCTGCTTCGTCATCTAAAGCAGAAAGATAGGCTTTTACATAAAGTGCAGAAGAACTGTGATATTGTCACAGCATGTTTGCAGGCTGTTTCCCAGAAACGCCGTAAGTACTGTTTTGTGTATGTGTTTATTAGTTGTGAGTAGTTTATTTAATTAATATGGCAGTATTTCAATTAAACCCTTGAATTTCATAGTATGAAACTTCTAAACAAGTTCTAAAATCAAGAGGCTAGTTTATGCTATTAGATGCATATAACTAGCTCCCACTGAAGTCAATGGGAGTTGCATGTGAATCAGTTAAAAAGAATTGGTCCAACCAATTGATAAGATATGCTATAATAGTCCAAGATGGATGCATTGAAGAAGTTGTCTCTCTCACAGAGTACGCTCTGTAATGCTTTTTCAACTTAGCATAGGGGAAACATGTTGATTCTGCTTGCTGTGTTTAATTGTAAACTTTTGTATGGTTGGGGGGAGATAGTAAGTGCCATTATTTTCTCTTCATTAATAACTGTGTGTTGTATGTATGTTTTTCATTCCAGAATAGTATTACTAGTATGCCATTTCTTTACTAAGTGGATTCAGAACTATAGATATTGTTAGGAAGCTTGAATATCAACATCTGTCATTTATGCAAGGGTTTCAAAATAGGAATTGTGGGGAAGAAGAAAAATGTTGCGTTCTGAGTGTTAGTTTTCTTCTTTAACTAAACGGAATATTTTTGTATTTGATTTTTCATCATTGTCGAAAGGCACTAAAATACTTTCAGTAGGTTCTTGTACAGTGAAACTGTAAAATGTCATATCTAAAACCTTATCATAGCTTTAGAAACAATATATGAAAATTACCTAACATTCCGTCTTATTTTTTTATTAACACGCAGCGTGACAGGTACAGTAAATGTTCAGGTAAAGTAACTATAAGCATGACCACTTAAAAAAATGCCTGCAGCAACTTTGAGGTGCATGTAAAAGGTTTATTTTAAAAACTTACTGTAGTGACATATATTCTAATGTGGTGTAGTTAAGGCTTTGTCTGGTCCTCTTGTAAAATTAAATCTTTGAGAGTTTATAAATGTTGATGTGCTCTACGTGAAATTTAGCAAACGAGTTCTCAGTCAACATATAGTACTTAACATACATGTTCTTCCTCTAATCTCTCCTTTTCCCCCAGAAAAATCTTTAAGGCCTCAATTCTGTAAATGCTTAAGCACAAACATAACTTTAACCTTGTGAGTAGTCCCAAGATTGGGTCCTAAATTCTGACAGTGAAATCCTGGCCACAGTGAAATCAATGGCAAAACTCCCATTGACTTTACTAATTCAGGATTCCCCCCCCTGAGTGTAAAAGAACTGTGAATCTGAGTTTTAGATGTTTTTGTTTTTATTCATACTATTTGGAAAGTGGCACCGTTGTTTGAAAGAAAACCAACTAGCTATCCCTGAGAAAGCAATTTCAGTTTTGAAATGTGCAGTTATTGTTTAACAGCCATGTGTGTGTGTATGTATGTATGTTTGAAGTCTGGTTACTGGCATGCAGTATGTCTAGGGCCCTACCAAATTCACGGTGCATTTTGATCAATTTCACTGTCATAGGATTTTAAAAATCGTAAATTTCATGATTTCAGCTATTTAAATCTGAAATTTCATGGTGTTGTAATTGTAGGGGTCCTGACCCAAAAAGCAGTTGAGGGTGAGCTGGGGTGGGGTTGTAAGATTATTGTAGGTGGGGGTTGTGGTACTGCTACCTTTACTTCTGCGGCTGCTGCAGGCGGTGGCGTTGTTTTCAGAGCTGGAGAGCTGCGGCTGCTGGCCAAGAGCCCAGCTTTGAACGCAGAGCTGCCGTCAGCAGCAGTGCAGAAGTAAGGATGGCAAGGTATGGTATTGCTATCCTTACTTCTGCACTGCTGCCTGCAGAGCTGGGCCCTCAGCCACCGCCACTCTGGCCGCCCAGCTCTGAAGGCAGCAGCGCAGAAATAACGGTGGCATGGTCTAGCATTGCCACCCTTAATTCTGCATTGCTGCTGGCCGGGTGCTGCCTTCAGAGCTGGGCACCTGGCCAACAGCTGCTGCTCTCCGGCCTCCAGCTCTGAAGGCAGTGCAGAAGTAAGGGTGGCAATACCATGATTCCCCTAAAATAACCTTGCAACCCCCTGCAACTCCCTTTTGGGTCAGGACCCTCAATTTGAGAAATGCTGGTCTCTCCTGTGAAATCTGTATAGTACAGAATAAAAGCACACAAAAGACCAGGTTTCATGGGGGGGACGACCAGATTTCATGGTCCGTGACGTATTTTTCATGGCCGTGAATTTGGTAGGGCCCTAAGTATATCTCTTTAAATTAGGGTTTTATATTTAGTAAAAGTTGTTTAACATCTAGATACGCAAAAATCAGGAAGTTCAAAAGTGTGTATCCCAAAGCAACTGTAATTTAGTCATCATGTACATTTAGGACGTAATCCAGTGCTCACTGAAGTCAGTGGAAAGATTCTTGTTGGCTTAAATGGGCTCTTGATCAGGTCCACACAGTGTTCATTTTTATGCCTTAATGTAAAAATACTAACACCATGTATGTACAGAATTATATTTGCTGTGGGAATATAACTTTAAATGTTCTGACATTTGTGCATCTAAAATCTCAGAAATGTTATGGCATTAACAGATTTTTCCACTTGTCTTCAATTTTTAAAAAGACTTTTTAAAACGCACAATTATTGTGATGACATTGAAATAAATGAATAATATGAAATAACCAAAATGTAACTGAATTTATTTTAGTGTATAGCGCTCCAGCTATACACACGCTCATGAATGCATATTTTGTCTACATGCCTCAGTACCTATTATAAATATTAGTAGAAATCACTGGACATAGTACAATTTTGTACTAGAAGCATAACTTATTTTTGAAACTCATCAAAAATACTTGTAATTGAAAGCCAAGTGCACAGCAAGTTCAAATGTTGTTTCTAATGGACACTGAATTTCTTTTTCAACTTAAGATTTTAAATATCCAGTTTCGGATAGAGGAGCCAATAATTATTTTAAAAGTATTTAAAGAAAAATGTTGGCAAGCATCACAAAAGATTTATAATAAAAATGTATTCTTGCAATGTTTTTGTTATAGGCAGTAAAGCTTTCTAATGTGCTGCTCCAGTGTCTTGTATTACTAATGTTTGTGTCAAGAACTCATTAAGGAAAATTGGGCAAACCACATTGCGCTCTAAAAAACGTCTAAAAGATTTTCTTAGTGACAGGCTAAAAAATTGCTTGGAAACATAAGTTAAGTCATTTAAAATATTGCCTAAACCTATATATTTATATAATGGCTCCGTGTCTGGTGTACGAAGTTTCGCACTATGTTTGTGCTATATTTAAAAAAAAAATGCTGCACGCAACAGCACTGAAATTTGCATCTAAAGCTAAGAATCCAGTCTTAATTTGCCTGTGATGTTCAGTGGCCCCCTCCCACATATAATAATAGATCAAATTCAAACAAGTACTGTGGTGAAATAGTTAATGGTAGTGATTCTGCTCAACTCCGAGCTTTGTTTATGTGATATAATTCAGACCCTTAACTCAACATGGTAATCAAATTAATCCCTTATGCAACGCCACTTAATCAGTGGAGTTACATGACGGATAAATTTGGCCCATTATTTTGTGGCTAACCATACCATACACTAATCTATTCCTCTGCAGTGAATAAACTGTCAAAACCCTTTACAATGATCATTTAAATTCTAAGTGATAACATAAGAATTTAAAACTTTTATTATACCATGCAGATAATTAATCATGGATCAAATACTGAGCTGGATTCACTCTCAGGCCTCTGCTGCAATTCATTAACTACTTAAAGTATGGTCTTCTGGCAGCTTTAGAGGCCTGTGACTGACTTTATTATTCCAGGGCCATCAAGAATCCAGTACAATGCACATAATAGTAACTTCTTTGGTAGTAAAAAGAACTAATAGAACAAGTGTGGAGGAATGAACTGTCAACATGCATGTTGCAACATTGGATTCTAACAGAATGCACTTCATACTCTTAGACATTTTATGTGTTAGATGAAATGCATTTGTAGAATGAAATGCATTGTGGTCACAAGTAGACACTGCTTTAGAATATAAAATGCATTGCAGAATGAAATGCATTTTGATTAGAAGTATACATTGCCAGGGTTCTGTTAGACAATGGATAAATGCTAAGAACAGTACACCATGTTGGAGTTCTAATTTGAAATAATTAGTGGTTGACTACCTTTATTTCAATGGAACCTGTTTGAAAAAACTAAAAATAAAAAAAATGTTAAGGGGTAAGTCAGTTGGATAGAATGTCATAGTGGTCTCCTGATGCCAGATATTTTTTCCAAGCAGACACTTACCTGTAATTTAGTAACTTTATCGTATTTATTTGATATAGTAAGAATGATGCTGAGGCATAATAGATGTCCATTAAGGTCCACATGCCTGAAAAGAAAATTGCCTAATATTATGTTGGCAGTTCTCATTCAGAGAATGTGTAAGGGTGACGCCTTTTTTCTCTAATGAGATTACACAAACTTTTTGGTTGATTTCTTGACAGTATGCTTGTCACCTATTACATTTCCTTTGAGTGGCCAAAGTGTAAACCAGAGTTTCTTGAAACGACAAATTTTAACCCCATATTCTTTTTATTTTAAAAACATGTTTGAGTGGCTTAATTTTATTTCCATTTAACTTTTGTTTGTAAATAAAGGGTTAGCCATCCATCAGTTAGATTTCCACACATTTAATTTGGTTTCCTAATAGAGATGTTTAAAACTAAAATTGCATAAACTGGATTGAAATTTATGTCAAAGGAGTGAGTAGTAACATTTTTTTGTATTTTTCCCCTTGAAGCAATATACTTTCTTAGCAGAACCAGATGAATTAAATTTCCTTTCTGTGAACATTTTTATGAGATTTAATAGGGAATAAAATTATTCATGAAGTTACAAACTTTTCTTTTGATATCTTTTAAAAAAATATTAAATATTTTCTGTTGTAATGCCTTTTTAGAAAGTTAAAAATAAACTATTTTATCAGTGTTGCAAACATTGTTTTCCTTTAGATTTCCATGAA